AATACAGGAAAGCAAGGTCTACTGATTGAATTTTCGAAAATGCAAATTTTCGAAAACCAGATAAGTTATTTTAGTGCTCTCCCATTTTCAAGTGTTTCATCATTTGAGATTGAAAATTTGTTTTTTAAATTCATCATGAATTTGACATACAACCAGTGATGTGACATGTTTTCCTCACAAATCTAGATCATAATAATTACGTATCTAAATAAAAAAAAAAAACAAGAAAACTTACCTTTCATGGAGTACTGGAGCTTACCTGTACACATTTCAGAAAAATAAAAAAAATTACATAGAAACTGACTCCTTCTCACACACATTTTTCACCGTTTACATCAACATCATGTGATATTTCAAAATGTTACACATCTTCATTTTAGGAATTTAGTGTAAAATGGAAAGTTCAATTCAAAATACTTCAAGTTGCTCTTCACATACTACGTGATCTATATCTACATACGGAAAAAAATGGTGTACTGAATGTATAAAAGCGGCTGTAAAACCTTTATTCTTATTAAATCTTGATAAACATTTTCTGTTAGGTTGGCATCAAAATTAGAAGTCACTTCAACCGATTAAATACAACGTTGAAAATATAGTTATTTATATACCACTCAAAGTATGGAATAAATCGGATATTTCCTAAATAAGAAGCTCATTTTTATTGATCTAAAAATGTAACAAATAATGGGTGTATATTATCTCAATGTGTCTCAACCTGTGTAATGAAATTTTGCTGTAAAATGTGAAAAAATTATATTGAAAATCAAGGTTTTTTTTGGATAATGCTTCCAGATTAGGAGATATGGAATTTATTCAATACTTTACGGACACACTGTATACTTTTTATTCTAATGAAAATCTAGTCGCGAGCATGACTGTCTTTCTTGAGGAAAATTTAATAATTAATTCATCACCCGTGTTCATCACCTATTTTCAGTTCTGAACAATAACTAAAAAATGTGCTGGAATTTTTTTCCATAAAAACAACGTGTTGATTTTGAATCCAGAATAAGACCCATTTTCTTAAAACTGTCATAGTGTTACTTTTCGTCTCGATCTCCATTGGTCGGGAATGTTCCGAACCTTTCCGAACCAACTTTCGCAGCTATATTTGGCAGCCAACTTCAGCAGGCTGTGATCTCAGCACCTTACTTACGCAGCTGTTTGTAAAATATTAGGTTAGGAATCTTTTATGTCAAAGTCAAAATTCCCAAGATTTTTCCGGACAGCCCTACAAGCTATGGCATGTTTTATCAAAAATATTCGAAAAAAATGATGTACAATATTTGAACAAATAGAAAACCTCAAGTTATCGAAATAAATGAGCCGTCTTAAGTTTTTTATTCTATGTGGAACTTTACGACCAATTTTACATTGACTGAGAAGAAGATGTAGCAAAAGGCCAAATGACACAAAAATATGAAATATATTTTTCTACTCACATAACTAAAATGGCATTTATCGTACGGATATTTACCACCTGCGATTTATTGAAAACACGTTACCATGGCAACACAATTTCTCAACCACATTAACATGGCAACAGAGTTTTTTAAAAACATCTCCAGTCGTTTGAGTCCTGTCCTGTTTGGCCTGTCAATTGTAGGAACTGTCAACTGTCATTTGTCTTTTTCGAATTTTGTTGCAATTTCTGTTTGTATCAGAATTCTTCATTAAAAATGTATGCGAAATGTAGACGAAAGTGAAATCGAAGAAAATGTTTCAGGTAGGTACTTGCATATTTCCAAAGACTAGGTGAAAATTATGCTCTCCCCTTTGTGAATAATTCATTTTATTTTAAGTACCTATGATAATAAACGTAAATCGAAATCGAAAACTTTGATATCTCAAAATGCAAACGAAAGTGAAATCGAAGAAAATTTTTTAGGTAGGTACTTGCATATTTCCAAAGACTAGGTGAAAATTATGCTCTCCCCTTTGTGAATAATTCATTTTATTTTAAGTACCTATGATAATAAACGTAAATCGAAATCGAAAACTTTGATATCTCAAAATGTAAACGAAAGTGAAATCGAAGAAAATTTTTTAGGTAGGTACTTTCATAACCCCAAGGGTGATTTTGCACTTATCATGCGATGGGTTTTTTTCGAAACTTTTTCTTGGTACTTACGTATTTTTGTCTGCAAATCACGAATTTGATAATGAAAATGTGAACAAGCCATTATTTATCAAGATATTTCACTATAAAGTTACAAATTTCGCCTTCTTTTCCGCCTGTCTTCTGCATCGAATTTAGAACAATTTGCCCTTCTTTTTTAAATCATTGGACAATTTATATATATATATCACAAAGTACGACACATTTTTTTCTATTATATGGGTCAACTAGAAATATGATTTATCCATGTTTAGTGAAAAGTAGGAAGAATATAATTTAAAATAATGAAGTTTGTAATGTCATTCAAAAGCAATCTGTTGGCATTTGACATCTCGTATTTGGATTGCCTATGAATTAAATGGCCGTCATCTGGTATGCTTGTTCACTAAATATGAAAAACTCCATAAAAATCATATTTCCTGTCGAATTTTCTATATAAAAATGTGTCATTGAAGTACATCATAAGTATATAAAGTGTTCAATGACAAAATAAGAAGAGCAAGTATTTGTAAATGCATCCAACAAACACAAGGGGAAAAAGAAGGTGGAATTTCGAACTTTTTCTTGAAATATCTCGATGAATAGTGGTTTGTTCTCATTTTCATTATCAAATTCGTGTTTTTCAGACAAAAATACGTAAGTACCAAAAAATTTTTCGGAAAAAAAAAAAAAAAAAACCATCGCATGATAAGTGCAAAATTTGCTTTCCAAGGACTCTAGGTAAAAATTAAGTTCTCGTCTTTGTGAATAATTCATTTTGGTAAAAGTGCACTTATCATGCGATGGGTTTTTTTTCGAAAATTTTTTTTGGTACTTACGTATTTTCGTCTGAAAAACACGAATTTCATAATGAAAATGTGAACAAACCACTATTTATCGAGATATTTCAATAAAATGTTCGAAATTTTGCCTTCTTTTCCCCCTTGTGTTGGATGCATTTACAGGTACTTGCTCTTATTATTTTGTCATTGGACACTTTATATACTCATGATGTACTTCACTGACACATTTTAAGATAGAAATTTCAACAGGAAATATGATTTTTATGGCGAGTTTTTCCTATTTAGTGAGCAAGCATACCAGATGACGGCCATTTAATCCATATGCAATCCAAATACGAGATGTCAAATGTCAATAGATTGCTTTGGAATGACATTACACACGCCATTATTTATTCAAATGATATTCTTCCTTCTTTTCACTAAACATGGATAAATCACAGGAAAATCATATTTCTAGTTGACTCATATAATAAAAAAAATGTGTCCAACATTGTGTGATATATATAAATTGTCCAATGATGGAAAAAGAAGGGCAAAATGTTCTAAATGTGATCCAGAAGACAGGCGGAAAAGATGGTGAAATTTGTAACTTTATAGTGAAATATCTCGATAAATAGTGGTTTGTTCACATTTTCATTATGAAATTCGTGTTTTTCAGACGAAAATACGTAAGTACCAAAAAAAATTTTCGAAAAAAAACCCATCGCATGATAAGTGCACTTTTACCTTCATTTTATGCCAAGTATGATAATAGACGTAAATCGAAAACTTTGACATCTCAGCGAATCTAAGAGTTCGCATCTACGAAAGGTACGTCAGATGAAATCTTATTCACAAAAGTCAGTAAAGAAGCCATGTATCATGTATCCAATGGACTGGAAAACATCTACAACCAATATATCTAATACGTGTCTCGTTGGATGCGTGCAGTTGCATAGTATTTATTATATTATAATTAGGTTTTATGTTCTCAATTCCCATTCCCTTTGAATCATTTGGTAGGTTAGCAAATCTAAAATTTTCCGCCGCTGCTCACTTAAAACTTAAACAATAATATTCCCGTAACGGTGCCACTGGTAGAGAAAATCGAAAATTTTATGAATCAGAAAATGCACCTTGATGCATAAAAGACGTGTACCAAATTTCATGAAGATGTATACAATAAAACTGAATATTTTTCAAAATTTCATCACCCTGTATCTCAAAAGTTATGACTTTTAGGGCATACGTTTATAGGAAGTTTCCTTCTTAAAATGAGTCAAGGAATCGCTTCTTCAAGTATTAGCATGTCTTTAAGGAACACTCTGTATATACTTTTCTCATTAAAAAAATGTCACAGATTTCAAAACAAATATAAAAAACAGGCTGTTCCGTTAAAAAAAAAATGAATTTGTGGTTCGTCACGCTTCTAGGCGTCACCATGTAAAACTTATGCTGAGAGCTGTGGAAAGTCTTCATTGCGGCATTCAACTTGAGCATATCCTTTTGATTTTTCTGGATAGGAAATAACGTAAATATGGTGGGCCTTCTTGATGGATAACAATGTTCCACAACTACTAATTAATTTTCCGTATGTGGATGTAAATCACGTTGTATTTATGGAGAACATGGAGTTCTCTCTCAACTTGACTAAGAAAATAACAGCTGGGTGTTGACATTCTTTTCGTTTTTTTTTTGTCTTCTATTATCCATTTCACTTATGGCTTCAATTATGGAAACACACTGTGTCTGTGTCATTTTTAGCCAAAGAAGAATCACAGAAAAAAGGGTTTTTCATTATTTGTGTGGATGAGAAAGAATAGTAGTTTTCTCTATTTAAAAAAATGTAATTGAAAAAAAAAAATACAGAATGTGTGGCAGTACAATGATAAAATTAGTTACTTATTCTCGATGATTTATAAAACTTTAAAATCCCTGACTTAGCACCAGTGCTAACAATACGAAACATTTCCAAAACGGACGACATCTCCAACAAAAACTTTCCAGTACACATCATAAAAATCTCAAATACTACCACAAAAATAGCAAACTGCGAGAAATTTCGAAGGCCATCTCATTTTTCCCCCAGCAATAAAACAGTAGGTCAATTCACGTACCTGGTTTGGGATTGACGGCCCTTCGTTTGGCCAAAGGTTCATCGTCGTCCGAATCTGATATCGTCAGATCGACCACTTCTTTCTTCTTCTCCTCCACCTTAACGGGCTCTTTCTTGTCGCTGGTCGATGTTGCCGCCGGATTGGTGTTCACTATTTCTGAAAAATACACAGGGCGATCAGAAATCCACTTGCCTGATGTCTGATGAACTGCGACACCCTGTATACAAGGGGATTCACAGTGGATGGCGGAAGTTTCCTTCAGATGAATGTTTATAAAATAATTTCGGATATCTTCAGTTTTTTATGTCCACGCTGTACAGAATGGCGATCGATATAGTATAAGCAGCGGAATTACCAGCAGGCTGAGTAGGCTAGAGCCTAGGGCGGCAGATTTATGGAGGCGGCAAATTTGACCCAACAAAGGACCCCGCACCAAACTATAGGGAAAATGGCTCTCGATGAAAATCGCTGAATTTTTAGTATGTTGCAGACTTTGATATACTCAACAGATATTCCATTGAACTAACCTCAAAAAATGGACAGTTTTTCCGATATTGACCACCAAATGTCATTTTTTCGAGAAAAAAAGTATCTGAAAATGGTTGAATTTTTGGTATGTGGTAGATAGGAATGTACTGATGAAAAAATTCAATTGACCTAACCTCAAAAAATTGACAGTTTTCTCGATATTGACCTTCAAAATATAATTTTTCAAGAAAAACAATCTCTGAAAATGGCTGAATTTCTGGTATGTTGTAGATAGGAATAATCTGATGAAAAAATTATATTGACTTAATCTCAAAAAATTTACAGTTCTTTCGACATTGACCTCCAAATCTAATTTTTTCGAAAAATAATTTATGAAAATGGCTGGATTGAGTAGATATGTTGTATATATGAATGAACTGATGAAAAAATCCTATTGACCTAAACTCAAAAAACTCTTATAATAGATGGAATGATCAAAATAAAATAGATATATATGGCATAAATTCGACTATTGTGTATACCTACAACCCCATTGACATCGGAAAGGCTATAAAGGAGACTATAACCGTCTTTTAAATAATATATATTTCATTACATCCTCTCTTCGGCCACAGTTCGGCTTCAAGTTGTTTTTAGAAGGATGAAATGCCAAATACTAATTCGAAAACAGCAACTTTGTCTTGATTATTGTTCCATTCATCTTGTTTTCCATACGTATGGAAAACAAGATGAATGGAACGTACGTACATTTGGAGGTCAATATCGAGAAAACCGTCAATTTTTGGAGGTTAGGTCAATTGGATTTTTCACCAGTTCATTCCTATCTACAACATGCCAAAAATTCAACCATTTTCAGATACTTTTTTTTTTCTCGAAAAAATTACATTTGGAGGTCAATATTGGAAAAACTGTCCATTTTTTGAGGTTAGTTCAATGGAATATCTGTTCAGTATATCAAAGTCTGCAAAATACCAAAAATTTAGCGATTTTCATCGAGAGCCATTTTCCCTATAGTTTAGTGCGGGGTCCTTTCGATGGATGAATAGCTATGAGCTGAACTCCGCCAAGAAATCCAGATTCTGGATCATTAAAATGTCTACCATTGTTTTGGGCAAAAACAGAATTTGGAGAACATGTATCCAAACTTGGGCATAGCATTTTGCAAAGCTTTTCTTGCTTAAGTTGGGTGAAAAACTATCAAAGATCGACTTTGAGTCAAGAAAAATTAACGCCTTAGTTCTTTTGTGCATAGAGTCAAAACTAATGACCAAGATTTCATACGACGATATAATTGATGATTTTGCAAATGTGAAATCTCGCAAAAAGTAATGTAAGACTTTCATAAAATTCATTTAAAAACGTTAACTAAATGTACACTACTTTGTGCTATAGCTGTGTTCATATTGATTTACGTATTGTTAGGCATACCTTACCACGCCTTATAATAATTAGAACATGATTGACCATTTTTTATCTCAGAAATATACCCAAAAACTATTTCTCATGTAATCTTCACTAAATCGTGGGTTGTAGAAATAATCTTGAAACTGACAACGATACTCTCCTTGCGGTTGAGATGTTTGGTGTGCCCACTTTTCAATTGTTTCGTCAGACTTGCTCTCGATATGAACAATTTAATGCGAGTTCGTGGGGTTCCCATATTCGATGATAGATGGCGTGAACGATAGACAATTTCTTGAAAAATTTCAAAATGCGTTTCGAATCTTATTATGAAGTTGAACTAGACTTTTGGATGATATGTTTTCCTTCTTTCGGAACTCGAAGAGTCCCGTTGATGATGATGCACGAATTCAATAATAGACAAGAAGCATCTAGATACAGGACGCAGGAGAGATAGGGCGCAACAAATAAGCCATGCGGAAACATCTTGATCTTGACATATATGTCACGAGTGTCATGTTTTCAGAATATTCAAAATTTTCCTCCAATTTCAAATAGAAATATTATAAATCAAGATTAGTAGCTTATTAAACAAGTATTGATATTATATTATTAGTTTTAGTGATTGTATTGTGCTTTCATCATGGACTGACTGCTGCAATGTGTGAGGATTATTTGAAAATCCGTACATTCGGTATATTTCATGTACCAAAAGTGAGTAAATAAACTATAATCACAGGATTTTCTCAAGTTAGGACTTCCTATCGTTCATTAATTCACCATTGAAAGTCGGAAATATAAAGCACCCTTTACATTTGAACAAAAAATTGTTAAAATGAAAATGTGAACTCAAATGAATGTGACATGATGCCTGTAAATTTGGATTGAAACTTCGGAAATTCAGCAAGATTCTCCCACGCCTCGCTACTTTCACAAAGTAGGCGATATTGAGAGATTTCAAATAAGAAGTGATAACACCATTTGACTTTATATACATCTATCTCGCGGGAGCCAAGGTTGAGGTTGCGAATACATAAAAACTAAGGAAAAAAACTAAGGCAAAACATGTCTAACTCTCAATCTAAGACGGTTCAAAATCATGCTAGGTGATAACGAAAATAAACTGATGTTATGAAAACAAAAAATCATAAAGTTGCAATGTTAATGACAGAATTAATGTTATTCATATGATTGCAAACTAATGATTGAATTGCAGAGGTCAGTAAGGGCCGCAAAAATTGAACAGCCTACTGGCGACAAATTTTTAAATCCGCCACTGAGTAAAAGTCATTTTTATTTTCAAAATTAAGCAATATCTAATTTTCGGGGCAGCAAACTGTGACGAGCATTCCGAATCTAGTCTGAATATAGCTGATGATGAAGAATATAGGCGACAAATGAAAAAAAGAAGAAGAAGACAACTTGGCTTCGTTGTTGATTATACCGGGTTAGTACCGGGTGACACATACTCATGGTATACCCCTCTTTTCTCCTTTGTTTTTCTAGCCATATTTCTGGAATTCAGAACATCGAAAATCACTTTCTCATATTTCAAATATCAGACAACATAAAGAGCATACTTTCTCTATGAATATGATAAAAATCCGTCAGCTGTTTTTTGAAGTGGATAATAAAATATTATTTGTAGCAAACATCTCTTGGCTAAAAATCATCTAACAGTCTACCACCCACATCATTCATTCCATGATTTGGATTTAAGAATTTTAAAGGTTAGGACAGGCAATTTGTTTTTAGAAATTTTTTAGATGACTGCTGGTATCTACTCACCACAATCGTCGCCAATAATTTCAATTGAGTCATCTATGCCAATAACCGTAGCAGATTTACATTTTTCAATTTGTTTTTTCTCTGGCAACTGCACACTCCAGGTACCATCTTTGTTGAGCTGAATCTCGTTGCAATCAGCAGAGAGAATAGAAGAACCCAACACTTCAGTGAAATACCTGAAAAAAAAACATTCTTGATATGCTCCAATGCCTCTCATTCAAGTGATTGAATCAGAATAAACCAGAACAAGCAAGATATTGAATTATCCTCCTCAGAAGTTGCTCACCCTAGACTCTAGTAAATTTCATATGCAAGACACACTAATTCATCTCCACAAATTTATTATCAGAATTATCAGTATCTGAACATGTTTCCGACTATCAATAGTACATCATCAGCAGAAGCATTTCAAGACAATTTCTACAAAGAAACGTTTTTTATACTTAAACAAAATTATACTTTAGGCTAGGTACTCACGTGGAAATGATAAAAGAGGGGGGGGGCAACAATAATATTATTCCAATATGAATTGACACTTTTGACAATTAATGGAGGACAAGGTTCCCATGACCCGAAGGGCTTTATGGAGGGTACCAACACAAGTAATGGGCTTATATCACAAAAAAAAAATTCATAATTCGTTCCCTCCCTACGTTTTATAAAAAATTATTGAAATTCCCGATTTTTCGGACCTCTGAAAACGAGGCGATGATGTGACGTCAAACCCTAATACTGAAACAAGACTATTCCAGACAAAGATGAATGATTCATGATTCATGACAGAGTGAATTAACGCGAGATCACAATTGAAAGAATTAATATATCAGTTGCCTCAGTCTCCGTCGGGCGTTTGGTATTTTCTTTCAACTATGGCAAGATGAGGTTTCTACGTCATAAGAGGGTCCGTCTTCAGAAGGTACTATTTTTTTATGTCCAAAAATAAAACATTCTAGTTAATTTTTCCATCGAATTATGTCGTCAATCATTATTTATGTATAAAACGATCATTATAAACATGGTTTGAGTTAAAAGTTCTACTAAGGTGTACACGCCCTGGGTTTTAACTTGACATGGGATGCGTGAAGTATGTATCAAATGACAAGTGACACAAAACTAGCGAATTTTTTGGACTGAATACTTACTGCAGATAACCGAGAACACAACACACAAGTGAAGAATCAGATAAGAGGAATATTGATTGATTGTCTTTGTTACCCCAAGAAACATAGTTGTTTATAATAGGGATACATAAACAATATACATAATGTTTACAATTATGAAATTATAATAAGATATAACAAGTAAAAAAATGCAAATTATCATGCAATATCAACCTTGTCTTTCATAAGTAGGTATTCAAATAAGAAATGGAATTATCAAAGTCTCTGAAGCAGATATTTTTTCCAGTTAATTTTGAATCTAGTTGCTTCCTGTATATTCCTCAATTGACTTGGTAATGAGTTGTATAGAACGATTCCTGTGTGAAAAATGGATTGTTTGCCGATATTTGACTGGAACGTATTTACTATTAGTAAATTTGATTGTCTTGTTTCATGATTATGTAATGAATTGATTTCATTGAAATTTAAATTCGAAATTTTCAATTTATATAGGACAAATTGAATAAAACAACATATTTTAAGTTTATATAGTGATGTCAGATCTAATAAATCTCTAGGTTTGTATAAATTCATGGTTGGTTCGAGAAAATTTAAATTGAAATTACACTTCAATGTTTTATTTTGTAATTTCATTAGTGGACTCAAACGTGAAATATTGGTACTTCCCTTAGATTTAAATATTATTATAATAATCGCATTTTGACTAGATGAAACAAGGATTTGAAGATGAACGTGACGTTAGGAAGTTGAAAATATAAATTCTAAGGAATACTAGGATATTTTTATTGCTACTGCTGTATTCAATTCATGATTATTAGGGACCAGGTACCAGGTCGACCTATTGTCTTCTGTGAATGTGGATACCTACTGTTTGTTGTCATTGCTCAGGTCAGGTATTTCACTCAACAATGAAATATTCAAATTAAAAAAAAAGAAACTCACCCATCGATGACGAGATTGTCATATAGAGACGGCTTGTCGCACACAGGGCAATTCCACGTCGGTTTCCTCTCGTTCATTTGCAGGAAGAGCGAGGCATCGAAGCACTGCAGATGGCTGCAAGTGATGGCTCTGCAGGGCGTCGTCATTCGCATTTTTCCGAGAGGGCACATCAGCGATACCCTCAGCGACGTGGTGGCGATCTCGCAGTCGTCGTCGTTCAGCTTCTCTTTGACTGGAAATAATCATGAATTTTATTAAAATAGTCTGAAAATACCGCTCTAGAGCTTTCACTGTTACTCCAGGTAGTCTTGAAGGTTTGATTTCAATAGATCCGGCTCGAAGGACCAATATGATCGATGCTTGATAGATAGCTGATTGCTATAAGATTTCAATTGATAAAAAAATCAATCATCATAATTGATATCCACAGTATTTACCTGTTGATTATACTCAAATTACAAGATTATTACTACGATGTTGTAATGAATTCAAAGTATTGGTGAGTGTGTCATCACAATATGTTGAAAGGTGAAAATGAAAAGGAATTCACAAAAACATTAGAAAAACACATAGCTTTCTTCAACTTACTTATAGCTCTGGTATGATCAGGATTTTTGATCCCTTTGTTTTTCAATCTCTGCAACAAATCACAGGAGCTCAGCTTGTGAACCAGCGCCACTGTGATGGCATATCCTCTGCCATAGTCTGCCGCCCAAGACACTGTTATAGTGTTAGCCACAGTGGGGCTCAATTTGACCATCTGAGTTATGTTCACAGGCCTCGGTGGCCTTTTTGGTTCCACGCCGGGTTTGTTTGTAGGAATGGGGTTCTGAAAGAGTAAAAAATGTTCAATCTTCTATTGGAAATATGAATGACAGATGGAACTTACTGGCAGGGGACATAATTTATTGTTAACTTTGACCATAACACTGGGAGGGAAATAGTCCTCTTGTTCACAAGTTGTCTCCAGTAGACAGAAACGCATCTGGACTTGCTTTACATAGTCACATTTCACTCCTGGACGTATATCTCTGGAACTGGCAATGTCTGTGGCTTGCTGTGGGGTCAAGTGAAAGTAAAAAGTACCCTCTTGCATCCTAGAAGGAAAAATGAGTTGGTACAAAAACTCCTGTAGATTTATTATGAGCAGGTATATTTTCCTTACCTTTGGTTGCTTTGAGGTACTAGAGAAGAGGGTTTCAACAGATCTGCCAGAATATCATAGAATGGCAACCTTCGAAAGTTGACATCTGGATGAATAGGGTAATTGGCTGCCAGAACACTTTGTTGCTGTTTGGCAGTGGAATATTGGGGGTATGGAGAATAAATGTTTTGTTGATACATAGGCTGCTGACGAACCTGAACAACAAAAAGAAGGCTTCGAAATCAAGTTAGTGTTCTTAAATCTACTGATTCTAGAGTTTCTCAATGTACTTGACACTTTTGTTCTGACGATTTTGTAGATTACCAGCACTCTGACAAGCACTGACAATCAGAAATAACGAACGTACATGATATACATTTCAATGGTTCATATTACTGAGAACAAATTGGGAAAATGACAAGACGAAAGTTTATGATGTATATGACTGTGAAAATAATTGGTATCAATTTACTTTATTATTATTTTTATTGTCTCCATGGACTTGCTGGAATTTTTTCGGATGTTTATTCCTTCTTTTTTTTTCATTCACCTTCAACATATTGCAATAATACTTTAGTACGCTTTATTTTAGAATGATAATAATGTGATAAGCCACATTTGGGAAAAAACTACATACTGTTGTATTTTCATCACTATAGTAACTTATCTAGATTGTACAAAGTTAAGGTCACGGTCACTGTCATTGGATGTCGACTAAACTTCACTATTTTTCTTGCTGAAATCGTCAGAATTCACAACATTATTGGAACAGCTTTCGCTCGTGTCGGCCATTTTGTGTGGCTTGTCAATATGTCTGGTAGTAACTAGAGAAAAACATAGACCTATGCAATAGTGTGGCCATAGGTTTTTCGCGCCATTTGTTAACGAAGGCCCGTGATAATTCTGTAGTGTCTTGTTATACTATTGATTCAACCGAGAAAAGCAGAAACTCATTTTGAAATCTTGTGTGGCTTGTCATTGTTTCACAATAAGCCCTTCAATTGTAGTAATCTTATTCGAACATTTCTTTATGAAAAACGACTTGCATCGATCATTCAATCAAACAGTCGAAAAATTAGTCGACATTGTGAGTGTATGAAATCACGTCAGGTACCCTTACTTTAGGAGACCAACAGTCTTTCTTACCCATGTTTTCTTTCAAAGATGTGAAATACAATGAATAATATAGTGGACAATAAAAAAAGACACTAATTCATGCCTTTTTTTTCAGGATTCTCCGGGAAAAATAGGAATTATTGAAGATTTCTCCGAATTTTGAAAGACTTTACTTCGGAACTCAACATCTGTGATTCTGTGAATGCCATTCCAGAAAGATTGATGAAATATGGGGATAAAGATAAGTATTCATGAACATAAAGTTTAATTAAATACAGATCGTAGGTCTATTCTTATTCGAACATTTCTTTATGAAAAACGACTTGCATCGATCATTCAATCAAACAGTCGAAAAATTAGTCGACATTGTGAGTGTATGAAATCACGTCAGGTACCCTTACTTTAGGAGACCAACAGTCTTTCTTACCCATGTTTTCTTTCAAAGATGTGAAATACAATGAATAATATAGTGGACAATAAAAAAAGACACTAATTCATGCCTTTTTTTTCAGGATTCTCCGGGAAAAATAGGAATTATTGAAGATTTCTCCGAATTTTGAAAGACTTTACTTCGGAACTCAACATCTGTGATTCTGTGAATGCCATTCCAGAAAGATTGATGAAATATGGGGATAAAGATAAGTATTCATGAACATAAAATTTAATTAAATACAGATCGTAGGTCTATTCTTATTCGAACATTTCTTCATGAAAAAACGACTTCAATCGATCATTCAATAAAACAGTCGAGAAATTAGTCGACATTGTGAGTGTATGAAATCACGTCAGGTACCCTTACGAGGGGAGTGTATCAACTTTGGCGTTCGTAATGCCTCTCTACAAAGGAGGGTGGCGCCTTCAAGAGTTAGGTATAAACAGTGGTATTATACCAGTTTTTTTCCAAATTATTCATGCACTTTAGAAGAGCAACAGTCGTTGTTTCAATGGAGCAATGCTCTCTAAAGGGTAGACCCATGTTTTTTTTTCAAAGATGTGAAATACAATGAATAATATAGTGGACTATAAAAAAAAGATACTAATTCATGCTTTTTTTTTCAGGATATTCCAGGAACAATGGGAATTATTGAAGATTTCTCCGAATCTTGAAGGACTTTACTTCAGAACTCAACATTTGTGAATACCATTCCAGACAGATTGATGAAATATGGAGATTAAGATAAGTATCCATGAACATAAGATTCAAATAGAAATCGTAGGTCAATTCTTATTCGAACATTTCTTCATGAAAAAACGACTTCAATCGATCATTCAATAAAACAGTCGAGAATTTACTCGACATTGTGAGTGTATGAAATCACGTCAGGTACCCTTACGAGGGGAGTGTATCAACTTTGGCGTTCGTAATGCCTCTCTACAAAGGAGGGTGGCGCCTTCAAGAGTTAGGTATAAACAGTGGTATTATACCAGTTTTTTCCAAATTATTCATGCACTTTAGGAGAGCAACAGTCGTTGTTTCAATGGAGCAATGCTATCTAAAGGGTAGACCCATGTTTTTTTTCAAAGATGTGAAATACAATGAATAATATAGTGGACAATAAAAAAAAGATACTAATTCATGCTTTTTTTTTTCAGGATATTCCAGGAACAATGGGAATTATTGAAGATTTCTCCGAATCTTGAAGGACTTTACTTCAGAACTCAACATTTGTGAATGCCATTCCAGACAGATTGATGAAATATGGAGATTAAGATAAGTATTCATGAACATAAGATTCAAATAGAAATCGTAGGTCAATTCTTATTCGAACATTTCTTCATGAAAAAACGACTTCAATCGATCATTCAATAAAACAGTCGAGAATTTACTACTCGACATTGTGAGTGTATGAAATCACGTCAGGTACCCTTACGAGGGGAGTGTATCAACTTTGGCGTTCGTAATGCCTCTCTACAAAGGAGGGTGGCGCCTTCAAGAGTTAGGTATAAACAGTGGTATTATACCAGTTTTTTCCAAATTATTCATGCACTTTAGGAGAGCAACAGTCGTTGTTTCAATGGAGCAATGCTCTCTAAAGGGTAGACCCATGTTTTTTTTCATAGCTGTGAAATAAAATTATTAATATAGGGGACAATAAAAAAAATATACTGATTCATGTTTTTTTTAGGATATTCCAGGAACAATGGGAATTATTTAACATTTCTCCGAATCTTGAAGGACTTCACTTCAGGACTCAACATCTGGACTCAACATCTGTGAATGCCATTTCAGACTGATTGATGAAATATGGAGATTGAGATAAGTATCCATGAACATAAGATTCAAATAGAAATCGTAGGTCAATTCTTATTCGAACATTTCTTCATGAAAAAACGACTTCAATCGATCATTCAATAAAACAGTCGAGAATTTACTCGACATTGTGAGTGTATGAAATCACGTCAGGTACCCTTACGAGGGGAGTGTATCAACTTTGGCGTTCGTAATGCCTCTCTACAAAGGAGGGTGGCGCCTTCAAGAGTTAGGTATAAACAGTGGTATTATACCAGTTTTTTTCCAAATTATTCATGCACTTTGGGAGAGGAACAGTCGTTGTTTCAATGAAGCTATGCTCTCTAAAGGGTAGACCCATGTTTTCTTTCATATATGTGAAATACAATGAATCATATAGTGGGCAATCAAAAAAAAGATACTAATTCATGTTTTTTTTTCAGGATATTAAAGGAACAATGGGAATTATTGAAGATTTCTCCGAATCTTGAAGGACTTTACGTCAGAACTCAACATTTGTGAATGCCATTCCAGACAGATTGATGAAATATGGAGATTAGGAAAACAGTGGTTTTATACCAGTATTCTAAATTATTCATGCACTTTAGGAAAGCAACAGTCGTTGTTTCAATGGAGCTATGCTCTCAAAAGGGTAGAGCCATGTTTTCTTCCATAGCTGTGAAATAAAATGAATAAAATAGTGGAAAATAGAAAAAAAGATACTAATTCATGTTTTTAAGGATATTCCAGGAACAATGGGAATTATTCAAGATTTCTCCGAATTTTGAAAGACTTTACTTTGGAACTCAACATCTGTGATTCTGTGAATGCCATTCCAGAAAGATTGATGAAATATGGAGATAAAGATAAGTATTCTTGAACATAAAATTTGAATACAGATCGTAGGTCTATTCTTATTCGAACATTTCTTCATGAAAAAACGACTTCAATCGATCATTCAATAAAACAGTCGAGAATTTACTCGACATTGTGAGTGTATGAAATCACGTCAGGTACCCTTACGAGGGGAGTGTATCAACTTTGGCGTTCGTAATGCCTCTCTACAAAGGAGGGTGGCGCCTTCAAGAGTTAGGTATAAACAGTGGTATTATACCAGTTTTTTTCCAAATTATTCATGCATTTTAGGAGAGGAACAGTCGTTGTTTCAATGAAGCTATGCTCTCTAAAGGGTAGACCCATGTTTTCTTTCAATGAATCATATAGTGGGCAATCAAAAAAAAGATACTAATTCATGTTTTTTTTTTTCAGGATATTCCAGGAACAATGGGAATTATTGAAGATTTCTCCGAATCTTGAAGGACTTTACGTCAGAACTCAACATCTGTGGATGCCATTCCAGATAGATTGATGAAATATGGAGATTAGGAAAACAGTGGTTTTATACCAGTATTCTAAATTATTCATGCACTTTAGGAAAGCAACAGTCGTTGTTTCAATGGAGCTATGCTCTCAAAAGGGTAGAGCCATGTTTTCTTCCATAGCTGTGAAATAAAATGAATAAAATAGTGGACAATAGAAAAAAAGATACTAATTCATGTTTTTTTTTTCAGGATATTCCAGGGAAAATGGGAATTATTCAAGATTTCTCCGAATTTTGAAAGACTTTACTTTGGAACTCAACATCTGTGATTCTGTGAATGCCATTCCAGAAAGATTGATGAAATATAGAGATAAAGATAAGTATTCTTGAACATAAAATTTGAATACAGATCGTAGGTCTATTCTTATTTGAACATTTCTTCATGAAAAAACGACTTCAATCGATCATTCAATAAACCGAGAATTTACTCCACATTGTGAGTGTATGAAATCACGTCAGGTACCCTTACGAGGGGAGTGTATCAACTTTGGCGTTCGTAATGCCTCTCTGCAAAGGAGGGTGGCGCCTTCAAGAGTTAGGTATAAACAGTGGTATTATACCAGTTTTTTTCCAAATTATTCATGCATTTTAGAAGAGGAACAGTCGTTGTTTCAATGGAGCTATGCTCTCTAAAGGGTAGACCCATGTTTTCTTTCATAGCTGTGAAATAAAATTATTAATATAGGGGACAATAAAAAAAATATACTGATTCATGTTTTTTTTTAGGATATTCCAGGAACAATGGGAATTATTCAACATTTCTCCGAATCTTGAAGGACTTCACTTCAGGACTCAACATCTGTGAATGCCATTTCAGACTGATTGATGAAATATGGAGATTGAGATAAGTATTCATGAACATAAAATTTGAATACAGATTGTAGGCCTATTTTTATTGGAACATTTCTTCATGGAAAAACATCTTTAATAGATCATTCAATCAAACAGTAGAAAAATTAGTCAATCATGTCAGGTACCCTTATGAGGGTAGTGTATAATCTTTTAGTTTCCTAATGCCTCCCCAGAAAGGAGGGTGGCACCCTGGAGAGTTAGGCATAAACAGTGGTGTTATACCAGTTTTTTTCCAAATTATTCATGCACTTCAGGAAAGCAACAAAGCAACAGGAGTTGTTTCAATGGAGCTATGCTCTTTGAAGGGTATACCCATGTTTTCTTCCATAGATGTGAAATACAATGAATAATATAGTGGGCAATCAGAAAAGAGATACTAATCCAAGGTTTTTTTTTCAGGAAATTCCAGGAACAATGGTAATTATTGAAGATTTATCCAAATCTTGGAAGAATTCCATATTCAAGAGCATCAAAAAAACCAACTGATTTAGAGCAAAAGTGGAATGAGAAGCTTGCTGAATTCAATTTCAAACAAATTTTGACTGCCCCTATTCTCAATCTACAAAAACAAAACAAAAGTATCAAGTATATCAAGCAACTCTACTGATAATATTCTTAGACATACCATTGCTCTAGTGTCCACACTAAAAGGATGAACAGTAGCTGTGGAACGAGGTATATTCCCTTGTTGAGGCATAGTATTTGCTTGTGGGGAAACTGTAGAGAGGTCTTGTCTTGATGGAGAGGTACTTGTCGGTGGAGCACTACCTGCTTGTCTAAAGACAGTGCTCAAATGAACATAAATAACTGATACAGACATTAGATTACTTACTGGGTAGTTTTATACAGGTCTTTGATTTTCTGGTGAATTGGATGAGATCTGACCCTCAATAGCTCTAAAGCTCGTTGCTGAAGTTCGCTTTTTCTACCAGTCTTATTTCTTCCGGCAAAACCCAATAGCATTTGTAATTCGGAAACACGAAAAGATACTAGCATATTCTAGAAGAAATTGAAACAGAAAAATAAACGATATTCAGGAAATATTTGAGAAAATTATAACTCACCCGCAACTCATCAGTATTTTCGGACATTTCCTATGGGCTGAAAAGTCCTGATCCACGAAACAAATCCAAGTCCCACCATTTAGCCTAGCTACACCTTTAACAATGTGTCAAAGCTTGGATGCGGTAGTGTTAGTTGGATTCTGTAGTTGCATGTAATTCACATGCCTCAGATTTTTCATTGAGCCATTGGATTGAACATAATTTTTTCAATAATAATAATCAAGATTTTTTTTTCACTTTTCTACTGAAAGAACGCGCTCTAGAAACAGAATTTAACAGAAAGAAAAGTGACAGCGTCAGTGTGACAGTGACAGTACTGATAGAACTTGACAGAAAACAGACTGACAGTGACCATTGACAGACTAGAACATAGAACCTGAATTCACAGAAGAATACGTCAGTATTATGCTTTTTTTATGCTTCTGCGTAAGAAATTCTGATAGCTGTCGTTTCATGTTATCAAGTGTCATCAACACCACCACTAGCGCCTACGCCTACGCTAGTGTCATTGAGTCATTGTCATCAACTCATCAATCACTTGAATCTTGAATCACTCATCTTTCTCATCAACAACAACAACAACAACAACAACAAAAAACAGCAATTTTATATTTTAGGTATATGGATTTGGATTTGATAAATTCTAAAGAAGCCACAACATGATTCACGAGTGTTTATTCAATTTATGGAATAATTCAAACGCGGCAGACTTGTCTGAAAAACATAATGTAACTATTTCATCCACAATAAAAATAGAAAATTTTTCAGTTGCTAATTTTCAGTGGACACATTTGTTTGAACTACAAGACTTCCTACACCCTGGTGAACAGAAATTGCTGCAAATGATCGTTGAAGTAGCAATGGATTACCACAAGATATCAGCTTTTAATCAAACAATTCTCAACCTGAATCTTAGACCTGAAGGTAAAGTTGCTGTGTTTCCATGTAAATTTAGCCATCTTTGTACAAAAAATAATAATTGCAGATTCAAGCATGCCCCTTTCTGTGGTGTCAGAAAAACTTCCAACTGGGCTTTACATAACAGCATTCTGTAATGGTTTGCACAAGGTCTTAGAAGACTACAGAAATGAGACTATTAGATTAGAAAATATGTTTTTGCAAAATCCACAGTTATCATTGACATTCATTCTTTGTTCATTGGAAAAATATAGGAGTTTATTTCAAGTTCTTTTATCCATGATAAATTTAGTTCAAAAGGAGAACATACATGGTTGTCTATTAATTGGTAGGCTTCACAAATATGTCAATTGTGGAGTAGATAGAATTAGCTTAGCTGCCAATCAGTAAGTACTGTACATTTTTTTATATTATTTGTATGTACATTGTCATCAATTTTTTAGGATAATAAGATCTATCAACACTATATTCTATAGACATTTGTGCAACTGGATAATATATGGAGATTTAGTTGATACTTTTGGAGAATTTTTCATCATAGATGGGAAAGTAGCTGATCCAAATTTCATGTACCCTGAGCAAATGGTTGACATGTCCTCAGATAGTAGCACACATATTGGATTACTTGTAAGATGAAAGCACTTCATAGATAACCCTGAACAAGAATCAATGCATTTTTAGAAGAAAAGTCCTATTAGGAGTCCACCTGTGGTAAGGAAATTTGTAATCAACTGGGAAATGGTACCTTTGTTCATGAGTGAAGAAACAGCTGAAAGTATACTGTTCATGGGGAGGATAGTGTGGATTGTGAAAAACAATCCTAAACAGTGTGACAACGAAAATTATCACATAAAATTCAAAAGAGACATATGGGAGAGCAAGGATGCTGACTATTACAGAAAAGTGCAGGAACTAGAAAATGACACATTCAATAATATAGGGTTCCAAATTGCAATTGAAGAATGTAGAATTAAGTTGACCAAAGTACTGTTACTAAAATTCAAGTATAGTTCTTTTTCAAAAAAAATTTTTATTTCAGTATTTGTGGTCTGTTATGTTGGGTGAAGGAAAATTAATTGAACACTTACACTTGATTAGGGATTACTATGCATTAGGCAGAGGAGAGTTGTTTCAGCAATTCATTAGTGTTGCTGAGGACCACTTGAAAGACACTTCTTCAGATCTGATAGTACAAAACTTGAACTTTATTTTTCATGAAACAGCAAGGAAGATATATGGGGAAAATGACAAAACTTATTTGAAGTTTGAGATCACTTCCAGTGCTGATGTTGGCAGTGGGTAGTAACTGATATTTTTCATATGAATTTTTGTTCAATCAATGAATTTCAGGAATTAATCTGTGGTCCAAGTTGGAAATGAATTTTGGAATCAACTGGCCCCTGCACATTGTGTTTCATCCCAAAGTGATGGAGTTGTATAATAAGTTGTTCTGCTTTTTATTGAGGCTGCGTAAAACACAAATTGATTTACATAAACTTTGGGCAGACCATGTTTCAAAAAAACAAAAAATGTAAGTATTTCCTGGTAAAAAACACAAAAATCTAGTGAAGTGGATATTGTTTCTTATTCTAGAGATAGGAGAGTGTGGCCTTTGAGGCAAAACTTGATGTTTCTTGTAAATAACCTACAGTATTACCTACAAGTAGATGTAATTGAAGCACAGTTCTCTTTGCTGTTGAAAGCTGTGGAAAATGCCAATGAATTTGAAGACATTATTAAAGTTCATCATGAATTCATCAGTAACTTGTTAGCCAAAACTTTTGTTTCCACACCTGATGAGGTAAATATTTGAAATATTGATATCAATGTTGTTCACTATTATTTGATTTTCTAGGGGCATATTTACAAAAATAAGCATAGACTTTATCAAACTCCTGCTGTTCAATATGATGTTCCAAGTAAGGTAAATATAAATTTTATCTACATTTTTTTCATCACTGGGTTGGATTCCACTAGTGATTGGAAAGCTGACCAACAAACTTTCAGAGGTGACAGCCTCAAGGCCTTCAGGTGCTCAGTTTGAAAAATAAAATTCAAAAACCTGAATTTTAGACAGTAAAATTAATCCTGTAATTCCATCCAATGAGGCACCACTTTTATTATAGCAACCATATAACCTTCAGCTGAACTGAAATGTCAGTTTTTGAGATGTCTGTCCAGAACTGAGTGCTTGTTAGACAATTTTCATCATCATGGAAATTATAAAAATGTTTATTTTTTCTGCATCATTTCTGTTCAGTTACTGAATAAAATAACAATATACAAGTAAACAGACTGAACTGTGGATCTTGCCCTTAGACATATATTGGCCAGACAGGTAGAAGCTTCAATCAACGTTTTCAGGAACATAAAATTTGTTTTTCAAGAAAGAAAATAATTTCAACATACTCTAACGATATATTGGGAGAAAATTACGGTTTTGAAGAAAATATAAGTGGAATAGGTACCACAATCCCCAGTAGTATCACTGGATAAAATTTTCAAAATGACTCTTTTAATGTAAAAAATTCAACCGACTGAACTGTGGATCTTGCCCTTAGACATATATTGGTCAGACAGGTAGAAGGTTCAATCAACGTTTTCAGGAACATAACATTTGTCTTTAAAGAAAGAAAATAATTTCAACATACTCTAACGATATATTGGGAGAAAATTACGGTTTTGAAGAAAATATAAGTGGAATAGGTACCACAATCCCCAGTAGTGTCACTGGATAAAATTTCCAAAATGACTCTTTTAATGTAAAAAATTCAACCGACTGAACTGTGGATCTTGCCCTTAGACATATATTGGTCAGACAGGTAGAAGGTTCAATCAACGTTTTCAGGAACATAACATTTGTTTTTCAAGAAAGAAAACAATTTTAACATACTCTAACCATATATTGGGAGAAAATTACGGTTTTGAAGAAAATATAAGTGGAATAGGTACCACAATCCCCAGTAGTGTCACTGGATAAAATTTCCAAAATGACTCTTTTAATGTAAAAAATTCAACCGACTGAACTGTGGATCTTGCCCTCAGACATATATTGGTCAGACAGGTAGAAGGTTCAATCAACGTTTTCAGGAACATAACATTTGTTTTTCCTATCCTTATGGGTTTTGTTGATATGCAATGAACTTCTGGTGTTATTTGTAGGTCTACAGTGTTATATTGAAATTATTGGAGCTCTGTGATGACTTCTGTCTAGTAGCTAGGACTTGGGAGTCAGAATTACTAGTACCTGAATTGGAAGAACTGGAAGTTTTCCAAAAACGCAGTGATATGGTTATTGAATCTCTTCTGTTCATATTGTACAGGTTGCATGAAAAAGTCAGTGGTCAACACCTGTTGCAATTGCTCTCTCAGCTGGACTTCAATAAGTATTTCAGTAAAAACAAGCCTGATTTTTTTTCTAATACTCTTTAAAAATGTAGGATCATTGTGATATTAGTATTTTTTATTTCAGAAATATTGTTATGAATAAATCAACAAATTTATATTCATAAAAAAGTGTATAATTTATTGAAACAAACAATAGTTTGTCATGGAAATAGAGAAGCAACTTTCACAAAAACAAAAAACACTCAAGTTTTCATTAAATCAATATTTTTTCTTCATAATTTTCATAAACAAAACCATATCTGAAAAATGAAAAAGTATAACAGTGAAACTGGAACAGAAAAATTGAAAATGTAACTTACTAATAAAAACTATCAACACAACTGCTAGCATAATCCACATCCAGCATTTCCAAGCCCTTTTGGAATGTTCAGCAAGTTTAGATGATTCTTCTGACAGTTTACCTAAGTTCTGTTCTGATAAAACTGATGACTGAGTCACAACCTAAAACATCATTCATGTAGAAGTTTGAGCAATTATATTTGGTGTAGATTGTTTACCTCAGTGTCTTTCTTTATAATTCTATTAGCAGTTTCTGATTGCTCTCTGAGACTTTGTGTTAGTGACAACATATCATCAGTAATTTTCTTCTGTCTATTTTCATGATAATTTATAACTTCATCCAGGTCATCAGAAGCATTAGATTTTTTGTCTACATTTCTTTGGCGCAAACCTAAAATGGAGAGTAATATCAATTTTTGTTGATGATGAATGATTGAAAGATGAATATGTACCTAATAAATCATTTCTCAAAATTTCTGGATCTTCATCTATATATTTTGCTACAGTTATTCCAACTGCAGTTTTAATATCATTTATCCTTCTTTTATAGTTAGCAATATTTTCATTTGATCTGAAAATATTTCAAAGACTATTTTAAACAATATACTAATAGTCAGAGATTTTTTTACATACTCAGTTAATTTTTTCACTTCTTGGAACATATCATCTAGGGTTTCTATGTATTTCTCAATTCTATCATCTTCCTTTTTGCTTTTACACATTAGTTCACATTTGGCCAGTAGGCGCCTCAGATTAACCTCTTGCCTTGATAAACCCATTACTAAAATTTGAAATTCATTGAAAATTCATCATTGATATACCCCATATTTTATAGCATATTATAATTCTGCTGAAGATACATATGGAAAAATAAATATGACCCAACAGGATTTCTTTTCATACCTAGGAGTAAGTGAAAATATATTTGCTATCCCATTGAAGGAAGGAATAACAAGTACAGTTCTGCAGATACTCACATCCTTTTGAAATTTCTCACTTGATTATCTCAACAGTTTGTTCATTTGAACAAGGATGTTTTATACTCTGAACAGAAAGTTATCACAACCAAAAACTAAAAAAACAATTATAATCTTCATCATTTCCGATTTAGTTATCATAATGATCATTTTTGATCTGATTATTTAACACCCATCTGGATTCCCAGTATGTTCATTGGAAAAAAAAAATGAAATCCGTTTTTTTTTTTTACAATCTAAATTTCAATGTTTTCACCAGTGGTAAGTGCCTACTGTGTGGAGTAGAAGCCGGACCTGTTCACATAAACTTCAGGGACTTTACAGCATTCCTAATTCATTGGCTTGCCATTGGCTGGACCCTCGGGTCAAAAATAAAACTTTGAACGCCAACATCAATCATTCCAACAGAAGTGAAATTACTGTTTTCTGTAAGGGTCTATACAGATATTCTCGGAAACAAAATTAACATGACAACAATGTTTTTTTGACAAACGTAAATAAAGTAATCTCAGAAATAGGAAATAGATTACTATTATTTTTTTTAGGAGTAATGAGGGTGTGTTATTATGTTATATGGTTAAAATAGGAAGGAGTAAAAAAAATTAGGTGAATAGATAAGTTTGTTAGAGGTACTTCAGGTACTTACTAGATTGATCAATCTACACTTTCTGGTACTTGCTCGTTGTTTTCTGAGTTTGATATGTTGTTTTCCACTGAGGAAACATGTGATTCAACCAACAGAAGATTATTCGTCGTTCAAACACCTGTTTTTGATTTTTTTGGCTCAATACAAGATTACAAGAACACGTACACAGTACAATACAATCAAATTAAATATTCCACGAATCCATGACCACATAATATCGGCAACATTTTCTTTGAGTATTGACATTTGACAGTCGATTTGAGAACCACAAAAAAGCAAGTGTGAAGTTAGCTGTAAGGCAGGGACACAGATGCCACAGTACACAGTTTCAGGGAGCAATGTTATTTATACAGTGTCACCCAATTTAGTTAGTCCACAGCACTCATAATATTTAATCCTCATTTAATCCAAAACAGATTTCAAACATTTCAAGGATCAAACTTATATTTATGTTGAGTGGATTATCATATAAATAAATATAAATTATTGATAATATAACAAATGAATCTCAATAATAGTCCAGTCCTTGAGTATTTTCAAGGGTCTAATCTCAAACAAAGAGATTCCATCAAATTGTTCAGATTGTGTTCAGCCTCATAACTTTCAGCAGCATACTGATTGGGACTCTGAATGATAGTATCCCTGATAACATTGTGTTTGGCATTGAAATATACAGTACAAGCACCTTTATATTCTTTTCCACTCACCAAATTGGCTATATTTTCAATATCACCCAAACTGATTGGATCATCTTGTAGTTTTTTCAATAGAATTTCTCTATCCCAGTGCTTGAATGGGCAACCATGGCATTGATTAGCTGTGGGAGTGGAACATTGAATTTTTTCACAAGACTCAGAAGGATAGTTGATTCTACCACCTACCATTCCATACTGGTGCTTGAATAGATATGAATACTTTCTTGTAAAAAGATCTTTGGTCATTTTCTTTGTAAATTCTTTTTCCCAAAATACCATAGCATCTTCATATGATAATCCTAACCATTTCAGAAATACACCATATTGCATTTTAGAATCATATTTCAAATGGTGGTCTTTTTTCAGAGAATTATGGATATTTTGCATACATAATGGATAGTGATCCTTGGCAAAGTCATCCATATTGTCTAGATTAATTGTTTTTAATGGCTCCAATTTGTATTTTGAACTAGTGAAAATAGGTATTGTTTTGAGTAAATACTCTATACGTTCATCTGCTAAACACATTGTTAGCATTCTATTATTCCATGAAAGCTGTTTTGCAAATTGTTTAATCAAGAAATCTCTTACACAGCAAATGGTATAGGTTTCTGGAAAATATGCTATTCCTTTATGTAGAAATATCTTTCTACAAGATATTAAATGTGTTGATATTGTGTGAAATGGTGCTTTATACCACTGCAAGCTTTTGTCATAACCTGTGCACTGTTCTAATAGATTTTTCTCACTTGATGAGACATATTCATAAGTGAAATTATTGTTTACAAAGAATTGTTGGATTTCAATTTTTGTCATTTGTTTGTACAGCAACATGAACCATTGTAATTCCCACTTGATGAAATTGTACTTCAGTTCATCTGTCCTGCAGTAACCTACAGAATTTCAGATAAGTGGATCATGGATCAACTCAACATCATTCTTACCTACATAAACTGAGAAGCCAGTGAGCAAGATGATCATCTTGTCTAGCTTTAGTGACTTTTACATTTTCATCTTGTTGAAGTAATATATCATAAGTCTTCAGCTTTAGAGTTTTTACTTCATTTTTCATGAAGGCATTCCATTCTCTGGTTCCAGGTTTCAATTGCTGGAATTTGGCTTGTTCCATCACTTTATATAAATGAATTCGCTCAACGCAAAGGTCTATTAATGCAGAAATATGCATTTCAATACCTTCTGGTATTTTTTTATAAGTATTCGCATTAAAATTCATGTTCAGAACTTTGAAAATACAATAATATTTTGGTCATTACACTCCTACCCAACGTCCGACTTGTGACTTCTAGAGTTTTGACTTTTTGAGTTTGAGGTTAATTTGGATGTGTCAAAAATTCTGTAGCTGATTTTGAGAACTATATTCATGCTGCTTCCTGATGCAAGATTTTCTTTTGGGCCGTGTGTCAAATAGGCCATTACCATTATAGTCTCTTACCACTCGCGACTATTACATTTCTTCTTCTTTCTTTCTAATGGGTTACACTTACAATTTTATTGGTTATGTTATCAAGGTCAGGGCCATCAGGGGGTTTAGGGGGTTATAGTGGAGGCTGTTCTATGTTTATTTTTTGAGATTTTCAGAACTTTCAGAAGGTTTCCAGTTCACATGATTATACTAAAGGAAACTTGTACCAGACAACACTAAAAAAACATGGATGATATTGAGAAAACTTTACATTCAAGTACTTTGATCACCACAGCAAACGTATTTTCCAAGGTGCTTGAGAATATTAGGAAGCAAAAGGACAATGTGAAAGACTCTGTAGAACTGAGATTCCTAAAAGAGAAATGCTTGTCTCAAGATTTTGTGATAAGCAATATTGCTGGGACCTCACTGGTAAAGTTAGTTGAAGACAAAACTCTACCTATGGAGCAGACTTTAGCAGAAATCATAGCTTCTATAAATACAACAAAGTATATAAGTTTGCCCAAAGTTTTTGTAGTTGAATAATCATCATTCAGCTTTGTAGATCATATGCAAGCCTTACTAATATACTGGGAGATTTGTTATATCTGGACTATAAGATTAAACATGATGAATCCAAGAAAACTAGACACAACAACTATAACTTATGCTCTCCACAACACCCATTTATTACACTTCTAATTGAACATTCTGACAGCTGGAACCTAGTATTGCAGAAAATTCAAGAGCTACAAAACAAAGAATCTCAGTAAATATATCTACATAGGAATTCCAATATTTCAAACAACTACCAAAATATTTCTTTCTTTCAGGTATTTCAACCATTTATTATTTAAACCTGTTTACTTATTCTGTATCTTTTCCCCATTACAAAACTCAATGGGTCTGTTTCAGCACAAAATATGGCAATTTCTTTTGACCTCAGAAAGTTTGGAAAAAAATATGTTTTATGATATCTTGTGTTGGTTGCAGGTAATTTTTTCTTAATAATACTGGCCCATCTATAAATTCTAATTTTACCTTAGATCAAGAACAGAAATAGTCTACACCTTGCAAGTGATATACTAACAGAGGCACTTCACTGCAATAGCCATTCAAATTATTTAGATTTGCTCTTACTGTGGCAAACTTCTGTTCTTCATGACTTAGTGATCAATAGGTTGAACATTTGTCCTACAATTCAATGTATAAGAAAAGTGGTCCAAAGAAAAACACACTCTGTGACAGACAACTGTGTACTTTTGATATTTGCCAAAATCATCAACTATTGCTCACCTGTTGATTTGAAGGATATCTTTGAAATATGTAAGTGAAATAATTATGAAAAACTTCATGTACACACAGAAAAGTTGTTCTGTTTCCTGGTATTGATAAATGAATCAAATGAAAAATTGGATTCCTTTGAAAGTCATGGCATTTCTGAAATGTTTCAACTTTCTATTTTTTACTCACAAGGGATTCAGTTTTTTATATTTGGGTAATTTTTATGCATTCAAAATGATTTCTTCTTCAAAATTGACAAGAAATCAGATACAAAATGGTAATTTTTTTAAGAAAAGGCAGTTTTTTTTTCAGGTGAAATTCTGATCTGCAAATCATCTATAGAACCTTATGTATTTGATACCTTCAAATCATCTCTATTACAGTGGTTGACAAATCCCTGTATTTTGATAGAAGAAGCTTACAAAAAAGCTGACACTATCCTCAAAAGGATGGACAAATCCAAAAACCTTCATTTCATTAAAAATGATGATTGGGAACTATTCACTAAAGAATTTGCACTACAATCATTCAAAGCTAATTCTATTGTAGCTGTGTCTTTAGAATTGCTTCATCTATCATTGCACTTGAGGAATGAAAGAGAAGTTTCAAAATGGCTGGACCATTTTTCATCCAATTGTGGAAATTCACTTCTGGAAGAAATATTTCATTTTATATGTGGGCTGTTTTTGAATGATGATTTTGATCCAGAAGTAACATTGAAAGTTTTCACAATCATCCTCAAATGTGTGGACAAAAATATACACCATTCACCCAAAGTTTTGATCCTAATTTTATATAAACTCACAAATTGTTCACATCCACAACTTTACCTGGCTTTGTTGAGAGCTTTGCCTAAAATGGTGGTCCTGAAAGAAAACATACCGAAAGTTATAGCAGCCCTAGAGGCTCTCAGTCAGGGCTCGGAGGATTTGTTCAATTTGAGCCTTTCTTTGATGTATGATGCTTGGAAAGTGGACAACAAATGCTATCCTTATTTGGAATCTATGCTGGTCAGTAAGGATTCATATAGAAAAAAGTGGGATAGACAAGTAGTCAAGACTTTTGTCATCAAACAGCTCTGTCATGCAAAGTGAGTTTATCAATATGTTTTTGGTGTTTAAATTTGTAATAGTTTTCCTAATTTTTACTTTCTACTGCTCAAGAAGATGAAATCCAAAGTGTGTAAAAAATATCAAAATGGGATCAAGAGGCCAAAGATCACAATTTTTTAAGAGAAATCACTACTTCAGGGTGGTACCATGGTAGTACCCATTTTTCATGAGAGGCCGGAAATCATAAGAATAATCTAGATTAGTAAATCAGAAAAAATTGAAGTCATAAATTTGAAATATCTTGACTTTGATAAATAATCTAAATCCAGTGGGGTAAAAAATAAGAAATGCTTAAGATTGAGAGATCAATGAAACTGAAAGAGATACATTTAAAAAAAGTCGATGTCCATTCGTCCATTCATAGAAAATCGACATCACGTCAGGGGCGTACCTACATTTTTTTGAGGGGGTCATATACTTGATAAAACATTTCTCGACACTGTATATTTTTTAGAGAGTTTAGGTGAAGCTCGGCTGTGTTCATTTTTATCACGTTTGAGACTTTCAATATGCTTTCAATAAAATTCAGTCGTCAGTGGCTTTATTAAAATTCATCTCTGGAAGGGGGGTCCATATTACTCTAGATCCAATATTTAGGAAAAAGAAACGTTGGTTTTGGGACCAATAACAAACTGAAGCAAAAAATATCAACAGGTACAATCATTGAAATAGGGACAACAAAAAAACAAAATGAAGAAAATTAAAAATTCAACTAATTCAGTTACTGAAAAATAGAAAAAATTGAACTGTTGCATTTTTTTCGTTGGAATCAAGCGACTAGTTTTGGGGAGATGGAGAAAATGAGAAAAACATACCTATTCAATATACAGGGTGATTCAAAATTCAATGTAACTATGTATGTATGATATAGGTACGTTATGTGAAATAAAAATGAGGTTTTTGACCCTGATTCACTATAATTCATGTGATTATAACTAGACATGTTTATGAGTCCCGATCAATACATTTTCTAGCTTATTTTGTCTTATTTATACTGAAAAAACAGTTTTTTTCTTTGTCAGTCCTACCCCGATACGACGTTTTTACGAACTTAGTCGGCTCATATCTCAGAAACTAAACATACAAAACTTTTCAAACTCACATATTTTTCTAATAAGCCATCCCACAACAACATAATAAAATGTCAGCCAATTCGACCGAGAGCCAATTTCCCGTGTTTTCGTGCGGGGTTCTTTACCAACTGTGACACCACTGGAAATATTATTTCGAATCTAATAGCACCAGAAAAAGCCTCATATTACTATTAACAAAACCACAACGTTTTATTGAAATTGATGAAAAGACAACTGAGGAATGAATAGAAAAACGATTTTTCATGGAAATATTAATACCCTGTATGTATCTCGAAAACGAAGCAAGTTAGGACACATATTTATATGAACTTTATTTCCTTAAATTTCACGAGGAATCACTCCTTGAATTTTTTCGGTGTTATTGAGATACAGTATAATTCCATAATAATTAGTGGAATATGACTTTAGTAAGTGTTTTTTGTTTTGTTCAGGCCAGAATTTTATGGTCCGGATATGGTAGCACATCTCTCAAAAATCCTCAATGATTGTGATGATGATGATGGAGCTTTACCAAGCGCTTTGGCCATCGAAGCCATCACAATTTTATGCAGGGCCGAAGTTATCGATATCATGACCACATGGGACGATTTACTGAAAAAATTCAAAAACGATAACCGGTTGCCAGTCGTCAAAAGGTAGAAAAAACACAAATACTGCTATTATTCCAGATTTCTTGGGATTTTCTCTCCTCGTCTGTATAAAAGAAAATTATGAATGCTTTTTCAATATACGTGTGGTGAGAATAAATCAGATGATTTGCCCCAAAATGTCACTGCGTTTGAAGAATTTTCCTATCAGAGAGCCTAAAAGAAAAATTCACTAGCTTGTCAGTGAGAATTTGTATTGAAAAAGGTTTGGAGAAGAGAAATAAAGGTGTATAGAAAAAATATCAAATTTTCACTTATCTTATTTGGACGTTTCCGGAACGAATCTGCACCCGTTTTCAACATAAAAATGGATTTTTTCTACAAACGTCAAATAATGACAAGGTTCGCGCATTAATAACAAATTGCGAAGTGACACTTTTTTTCAGTTTCCTACGTTAACATGATTCCTTGCACAAAACAATGCGCGAAGTAAAACAGTGCGCGAAGTAGGTATACTTCGCGCACTGTTATGTAAAATATATGAGATATTTATATTTCAACTTTATGGTCCTCAATCAAGCAAACATCCACGAAATCATTTATTTCTGAATGTTCAACAATAACTTTGTTTTATCTCTTGGAGCGCACGAAAGGAAATTCCTATTATGTTCGTGGAACATCGTGCGTACCTAGGGAGGATAGGGGAAGGCCTTTTAAGCCAGTTTAACACTATTTTTCATATCAAGGTAAGCATATTTTCACTTTAGAACTATATTTTTTGACGTTTGTAGAATAGTAGATTGTTTTATTAGGATCAAAAGTGACACTCTGTTTGACAAGCGAATTTTGCATTTGCGAGGTGGAGCGTTTAGCGAAGCCGAGCGAAAGCAAAATTTGCGAGTCGAACAAAGTCACTTTTGATCCGAATGAAACATGCTATTTTTTCTGCAACCGAAACAATTAACTCAAATAAACATGTGAAGTAACCACCAATGCCGTGCCATATGTATGCAATGCAACAAATATTAACAAATAATCCATGTGGTGAGAATATTCTACCTGCATTAACAGCAGGTTAGGTTTTCTAGGATGTTCAAATTGTAGTTTAAATATAAATACAACCACAGAGGGACATATTTGTGCATGGACCAGGTACTCTAATGGCAAATACCGCGCCAGTGCCAGCTATAGGAACAAGACGTGGAAAATGTTAGGTTAGTGAGCATATCAACAATGATAATAGTGATTATTTATTCCTCTCCATACTACACTGTGTTTGACTTGATAATCAAATGAAGCTAAACAATATCGTTGTATATACGGTGTATTTATATCTCCAGCATGGGTATAAAATGCCAAATCTGCTGAAATCAGAAACAAATCAGGTATGCGTCTCAACCCAAATAACCAACCGTCACAATGTTGTTTATTCTTGATGACGTCCAGTAGATCCTTTTTAGTTCCTAGGAGCTAAAGTTCAACTTTAGCTCCTGAAAACTAAAATTCAACTTTAGCTCCTAGGAACTGAATATGTTGCCTAGCAACATACCTATTTTTGTGTCAGTAATAGAAACGTCAATTTAAGAGCTAATTTTGGTATCACAATGGACGACTTTTGTGTCGGTTGCAGAAAAAAAATGTTGTTTGCAACTCGAGCGCGAAATACTTTGGTCATCTCGACTATTTTTTTAACTCGGCTACGCCTCGTTAAAAAAATCATATCTCGATCACCAAAGTAGCATTTCGCGCTCTAGATACAAAAATAACTATTTGCTGTGACGGGAAAAAAGTTTGGCATTTCATCTCTGTTGGCAGGTTATAAAATGTCACTTTTCATAAATTACTTTTTTTCCGTGGGAAAGAAGTGACTACTTCTTTCCCGGATATATATCACATATATATACACTGTTGATGGCTTTTGTTGTGCTATAGTTCCGAAAAATGAGTCAATAATTGATACAAGGTGGTCAAAAAATCTAAATTTATAATTTGTCTCAATTAAATGTCAATTGAACACCAATTGATAGTGAGTGAAAAGTTGAGATAGGGACATGTAAACCGTTTTGACGAATAATGAAAAGTTTCGACAGAAAAAAATCCTAAACTTGGAAAATCTCGATTTTGCACACCCCATATGTCAGTAACTTTCACTGCTAGACCCTAAGTATGATACGTCGTTGAAATCAGATTTTCAGGGAGAATTTAAAAATGAAATAAAATATAGGGTGTTCCAATGAAAAAAACATAGATTTGATGTGCTGTGACCTTACGGAACACCCTGTGTAGTTCAAAGAAATTTTGAAATGTGGAGCTCGGTTATCACTTCAATTTGAATGCGAAACTTTTTTCTGTATCTCTCAAAACAACAGAGGTATCGAACTCTGGATTCTTAGTTGGCCACCCTGTACATATATTCTTCATAAAAATCTAACAAACGGTTACCGAGATATTCACCTGGTTCCATACTTTTGCCCAACCCTGTATTTAAATAATATTCATATTTTTATTTTATAGACGAGAAAATCCCAAAAAATCTGGAATAATGAATGTTCCATCTCCTGAATTAACCTACAGACAGTATTTAACAAATACTGCTACTTCTTGTGTCATGAGATGAAAGAATGATTACAAAAAATGGTTTTGTAGCCTCTGTTTACTCATTCAAGAAATTCCCCGGCTTTCATACACTGAGAGTTACACAGAGTTATATGATGTTGTTTTGCGGAAATTGTGGGAATACATTGAATTTGGTGACCCTGAAATAAGCGAAGCAGCTCTAGATAGTCTAACGGCTTTTGGTCTGGACCAAATTTGCCCTCACATTCCAGAGGATTATTTGGAAGAAAAAGATGAATCCAAACCTATAGCAGTTAACTTGGTCCCAGGTGAATTTTATCATCAAACTAAAAAAAAATTTTTTTCGCATTGATAACAAGGGATTTTTAAAATATTTCCTCTCTAGTCTGGAATCTACGAAGGCCTGGAAGGGACACGTAAAATAATAAAAAAAATAACTTCAAAATTCTGAGTTATAACTCGGAATTTTAAAATTCCTACTTATATCTCGGAATTTTACATTCAAAATTCCGAGTTATAACTCAGAATTTTAAAATTCTGTGTTATAACTCGGAATTTTACATTAGTTCCGACTTATTGCACGGAATTTTAAAATTCCGAGATATAAGTCGGAATTTTGGTTGTAAAATTCCGACTTATAAATCGGAATTTTACATCAAAATTCCGACTTATATCTAGTTTTATTCTTTTAATTTTATGTGTCCCTTCCAGGGCTTCGTAAGAATCCTACAATTTTTGTTGAATTTAATTTTGTTTCTGATAATTTATTCGAATTTATTGAATTTATATTGATATTTATTTTGATGACAAAGTAGTTGGTAGAAATAAAAATACAGTAAGGAAGAATTGAAATGAGAAAAAATGAAAAATTATCACATATCCCAAACATTTCTCTTTATTTTACTGATGTTATTAGGTAAAACTTGGATAAACTTTCTGATCAGAAAAGGAGCATCGACATCTGCTGTCAACTTCATTGTCAAGATGATTTCCATTGAAATAGATGGATATTTGAAATACGTGTACCAAGTCAAAGGGCCTAAAGAGCCTCTGAATTATGGGTATTTACCAACACACAGTATATTGAGGGGTGTAGGAGAGTTTGTCAAGACGTGGGTAAGAACATTCTACATAACTAGCAGACCTCGCAAACGTTGTTTTGCCATAAACATTATTCCTATAATATATTTTTTCAGTTCAATATTAATCAGGACACTATTATTATTTTATTTTCTACTTCTTTTTAGTTTCACTATCTATAAAAGCGTATTTCTTCAGTTTTACAAACTACAATTTATTTCAACTTCTTTTTAGTTCACTTGAATTTCCCAATTTTGACGAAAGAATTATAATATCCGACTCCTAAAACTCCAGATGAAAATTTTGAATAGAATCGGAACATAATTATAAAACTCGTTCGCAATATTGGATCAATCATCTTGAATTCTCTAATTTTGACGAAGGAATCATAATTTTTTATCCCGAGAATTTTCAAATCCCGCCCTTTCCAAATTTTGACAAAATAATCATAATCTCCAACCCCGAAAACACCCAGATAACAATTTTGAAGAGAGTCGGGTCATAATTGCAATACTCGTCCGCCATATTGGGTCCGCCATCTTGGATTTCCTAATTTTGACGAAAGAATCATAATCTCCGACCCCGAAAACACCCAGATAACAATTTTGAAGAGAATCGGACCATACTTACAAAACTCGTCTGATATATTATTAGATCCGCCATCTTGAATTTCCTAATGGTACCGGGATAAAAAGTATCATATAACCTTCGCCTGGTTCTAAGCTATCTCCCCACCAATTTTCAGCCAAATCGATCCAGTAGTTTCGGAGCCTATTTAATACATATGAACAAACAATCAAATCTTTCCTTGTTATAATATTAGTACCTATAGATTAGAAATATTTATGTACAGGGTGATTGGTGATCCAATAGACATTTTTCCCCTGCAACGTTCTTCTTTATAAAGTTATTTGAAAATGTCAATTCCATTCAGTTTTTCATTAGTACACTTTGAGGATAATTGAAAAAAGTCCCACCAACTAGCTATTAAATTTCGAAAATATATTTATAAACAAGATATAGTTACAGGAAAGAGGAATTTGTGGTGGATCACATTGTACAAACAGTTTTTTGGAGTCCGTTATCGGATTGAAAAAGGACAATCAATATCACCATATTATTCATCATGCTTTTGAACGTTCAAACCCTCCAAATGCGAATTTTCACAGCATGGTTTCCAGGATTAAATATTCAGAATTTAAAATAAAACTATATTCAAAATATCTACCATTACTTCAATATATTGTAATGATATTTCCCTTAGAGGGGCTTTAGAAACATCATCAGTAAGACAGGAGTACAACGCTCATCCTGTAACACGCATCCCAGATCGTTCTCCAACCTCCCAATGATTCCTACATGCACTAGCATATTTCCGAACACTCAATATATGCCGCAGTGACAGATAACGTCACAGAAGATTCTGGAATGTTCTGGAAACAATCGATGGAACAATTAGAGAGAGAGAGGTTTGTTCTTAGAAGCTTCTATATAGAACAAAAAGAAGGAGACGGAAGATCATTCGAGAACGTTCTCGAACCAAAGCCTGCCAAGTGATCTCATATATAAACGGCCGAATAACTGCCGTCAGTCATCAGTTCAGCAGCGAGTGTCAGAGAGACAGTTATATACCGCGCGATATAAATCTTTTTACATAAATAGTACTAATAGTAGTTATAAGTTCGATATAAAGTAGTGTTTCTTTAGTTTAAAATGGTTTAAATAAATCAGTTTGAAAATAAATAGTGTCGATCGTGTTCGCTTCTGCAACCGAATAACGTAACAATATTATTGATAAGTTTTCATGATCCCCACGCCCCACATCTATTAATGTTCTGCTGATGATGGACCATTTCAGGTCCGAAACATCTTCCACAAAAAATGTTCATTGATCTCTCGTTTAAGGTGTACAAATCTCGAGGTAGTATCCATGACATGCTGTATATTGAGTGTCTCAACATTTTGAGCAAACAGTACAGCAAACCGTTGCCTCCTCTGGACTGGTGTTTTCTTCAGGAACTGATGCATGATTCCAAAACCAAAAAGTACTGCATTGACATCGCGTCCCATCAAGTCGTTTTGTCCGGTTCAGCTAGACGTTTGATGGAAAACTATATTATAGCAATCACGGAAAATTGCCAGGTGAAAGAAAGGGAAAATTTCACACCGAATATTTTCGACCTGTATTTTGTATCGCTGCCATAACCAAACAAATTCCTGGAAATATTTGTCTCCTCCTTAGGGGAATGTAATTCAGAAAGTACCACTTGTAATTCAGAATAGTGAAATGTTATTCAGAAAGCATAACTTGTTATTCAGAATGTATCATATATTTCCACCAACTTTAGTGGAATTATTTTGAACTACCACCATCTGCCTTGCATTGCTCAACTAAAGACGGTACTTTGTACTTTATTTAGCATAATCTCACCCTAGTATTTTTTTAAATTCCGGTGTGAAATTTTCTTACCAAATACCACTCTAGCTTCAATTTAAAATCGAAAATTTTCGGTGATAATTGAAACTATCATAAGTGATAACTTTCACTTTCTCCCTGTATTCATAGTAATGGAGTTTTTTCCAGGGAGAGGATGTCATCAACATTTTTAGAAATTTGAAACACTTGGCTAACAGCATCCAGCCTGTCATTCTGAAGCCTTTCTTTGAAACTACTATTTGGAAAGCAATCGAAACTAACAAAGCTGATTCAGAAAATGAGTTGTTGAAAATTGTGCTTGAATCACTCAAGACAGTTCTAAAACATCCTGATATCCAAGAAACTAATAAAACAACTATAATCGGAGTTCTGAAAACTGTCATGTTTGTGACAGATGTTCAGAGTAATGTGAGTTATTCATACAATATTGGAAACTGTCCCATTATCGTGATTTGAATTGTTTTTTTACTAGTGCAGTGGAAAAGCGAAATCTGACTTCATTGGAATTTTAATTTGTTGACACGTATGTTTCTTTATGTTAACTTTTGGGTTTTGTCCGCATGCTAGTTGTTAAAATGTTGAAGACGCCATGTATATTTGTATTATATTTTTTGACAATGTGCCAAATGCTGGTGGCCACTGAAAATTGTCGTCTAGACTACGAATACCTGCTGTTTTCCTAATACTCCTCCTTTTATCCATATTTGAATTTTCCTTTGTAATTCTCTCAATTTGATTTCCACGTACCAATAAATCCGGCTCGAAGGACCAATGTTAGTTCGTCGTCAGAACCAATATCTTGTCGTCTTTGTAATCGTAAAATCAGAATCTTTTCCAGAACGTTTTGACACAAAAGTCCCGATTATAAATATAATACAAATATACATGGCGTCTTCAACATTTTAACACTAGTAGAAAAAAATCGTGTACCTTAGCGGAGTTCGGCCAGTAGCGGAAAAGTCACTTGTTAGAGAAACTATTAGAACGCCTAAGGAATGCCTTATCACAAGCGGCCTTGACGACTCATCGGTATACGTAATCATCGTGTGATCGAAGATTGACGCAGGTTTAGTCATTAGCATCGTAGCATCAGAACGAATCACTTGTCGATGTTGTATTTTTATAAACGGTCATCTTTGTACAATAAAAATGTGTTTGAGTGTTGAAATTATGTCTATCTAGGATGCCTCCATTTAGAATCTTATATTTTTTTTCTGAATTGTCAAATCTAAGGTACAAATTTCGATGGTAGAGAAGCTATATTCCGGACTTTATCGAAATTGACAATTAAACAACAAGTTAAAAACTTGAAGTTACTCCGTTTTTTTCAATTTGAGAACCCATTTAGGTTTTTCAATTCGAATATATTATTTGTTGCTATTAGCCTCAACACGTTTGTTAATTCAGTTGCTTTCAATTTGTTTTCTAGTTGTTCTTATCTTTGATGGAAACTGTGATAATGGCTCCAAATAAATGTCTGCAGAATATTATGAAACTTTCGCCAGACTGTGACGAAATCTGGATAGAAAAGGTGATGAAGCTGAAATGTTTCCTTGCCAAAAACTCCGCTATTTCCCCACTCAATTGGATCAATGAAATAATCGACATGATACACAAAACAGGAAGGTTTGTGATTATTTTTCAACTTTTCAAAAATTCCGAACATTTTTCGTTGGAATTCAAACGAGAATCAAACTTCTAACTGTTGAACATATCTCTTACTAACTAGAAGAGCATCTTCAGACATTTATATTTGTTTTATTTTCTGTTTTTTTTATGCATCATACCTCAAATGTGCAAGATGTTCCTTGAATCTAGTTCTAATGGATTTTTTAGTTTGACCTACATATGATTTGCTAAAATTTCCACAACTTTGTAGATATCTGACTGTTGAACTGTTGAACATATGTTTTACTAACTATAATAGCATCTTTTGATTTGATTGTCTTTATTACCCCAAGAAACATTTCTGTCTTTTTTTGCATCATACCTGAAATGTGCAAGATGTTCCTTGAATCTAGTTATAATAAATTTCTTAGTTTGACCTACACATGATTTGCCAAAATCTCCACAACTTCGTAAATATCTGACTGTTGAACTGTTGAACATGTTTTACTAACTATAATAGCATCTTCAGACATTTATATTTGTCTCATTTTCTGTTTTTTTATGCATCATAACTCAAATGTGCGATTTGTTCCTTGAATCTAGTTCTAATGGATTTCTTATGACCTACATATGATTTGCCAAAATCTCCACAACTTCGTAAATATCTGACTGTTGAACTGTTGAACATATGTTTTACTAACTATAATAGCATCTCCAGACATTTATATTTGTCTTATTTTCTGTTTTTTTGCATCATACCTCAAATGTGCAAGATGTACCTTGAATCTAGTTCTAATGGATTTCTTAGTTTGACCTACCTATGATTTGCCAAAATCTCCACAACTTCGTAAATATCTGACTGTTGAACCGTTGTTCATATGTTTTACTAACTATAATAGCATCTTCAGACATTTATATTTGTCTTATTTTCTGTTTTTTTTGCATCATACCTCAAATGTGCAAGATGTTCCTTGAATCTAGTTCTAATAGATTTCTTAGTTTGACCTACACATGATTTGCCAAAATCTCCATAACTTTGTAAATATCTGACTGTTGAACTGTTGAACATATGTTTTACTAACTATAATAGCATCTTCAGACATTTATATTTGTCTCATTTTCTGTTTTTTTTATGCATCATACCTCAAATGTGTAAGATGTTCCTTGAATCTAGTTCTAATTGATTTTTTAGTTTGACCTACATATGATTTGCCAAAATCTGCACAACTTCGTATATATCTGACTGTTGAAAATATGTTTCACTAACTATAATAGCATCTGCTGACATTTATATTTGTCTTATTTTCTGTTTTTTTTATGCATCATTCCTCAAATGTGCAAGATGTTCCTTGAATCTAGTTCTAATGGATTTCTTAGTTTGACCTACACATGATTTGCCAAAATCTCCACAACTTCATAAATATCTGACTGTTGAACATATGTTTTACTAACTATAATAGCATCTGCTGACATTTATATTTGCCTCATTTTCTGTTTTTTTTATGCATCATTCCTCAAATGTGCGAGATGTTCCTTGAATCTAGTAGTAATGGATTTCTTAGTTTGACCTACATATGATTTGCCAAAATCTCTACAACTTCGTAGATATCTGATTTTCCATGTGAACTTACTTTGTCTTTCACCTAACTTGAATGGATGCTTTCAACTGATGAACTGAATTTCAGAAATATATCATTTTGGGATGATATCCATGAAGTATTCATATCTCAGATGGGTAATCCAGAAACTGTCTTATGGGTACTAGACCTAATCGGCCAAATCCAAGCAAAAGTAGCTGATAGGAACGACGAACATTTGCGAGTAGAATTCGATCTATTTATTTCGGCGATAGTATATTTTTCCGGGTTCCACTGTTTCTTGGATTCTCGAAAAAATGAATCTCAGATGGAAGATCTGTTTCCGCAAGCTCTGGCTGCTCTGCTAGCAACTGACGAATGGGATGTCTGCATGGTTCAGGTAGGACAAGAAATTATTTGTTCAGCAGAAATTATCTCGAATTTATGGTATACTCATATACAGGGTGATCCACGGTGGATGGCCTATTAGAAGTATCTGGAGAACGAAAAGACAGAACATTCTGAAAATTGGGATGCTTTGATAATTGAACATTCTCTATCCGTCTGAAATATTTTCAGCAATACAGTGTTGCCTCTTCTATCAGAAACAACTAGCAACTTCGATATTTTAAATGGAGCACCCTGTATTTTATTGCATTTTTAGATTCTTCCTGAAGAGCTGATTTCATCAATGCATCACACTTGGGGTCTAGAAGGAATAATTACAGAGATATAGGGTGTTCAAAATCGAGATTTTTCAATTTTAGGATTTTTTGTGTCGAAACTATTCATTATCGATCAAAACGGCTAACATGTCCCTAACTTAACTTTCGATGCACTATCTACTGACATTTAATTGGAACAGATACAGGGTGATCAGAATTCTGAATCTTGAAGCACCCTGTAGTTTTTCCAATTGAATTCCAGTAGATAGTGGATCAAAAGTTAAGGCATATGTAAGCCGTTTTGATCGATAATGAATAGTTTCGACAAAAAAAAAATCCTCAAATTGAAAAATCTCGATTTTGAACACCCTATATCTCTGTAATCATTCCTGCTAGACCGCAAGTGTGATGCATTGATGAAATCAGCTCTTCAGGAAAAATCTAAAAATGCAATAAAATACAGGGTGTTCATTTGAAATAACAAAGTTGCTAATCGTTTCTAATAGATGTGGCAACACTGTATCGATGAAAATATTTTAGACGGATAGAGAATGTTCAATTATCAAAGCATCCCAATTTTCAGAATGTTCTGTCTTTTCGTTCTCCAGATACTTCTAATAGGCCATCCACCGTGGATCACCCTGTATATGACAAGTTTTGCTTGCATTGTACGCATTTCATGGTTTGATCAATTTGATGCACTTGTGCAGTTACTCATGAAAACTGCATTCGTATAATTCTATATTCCAGAAAAATTCCATACCAGTCATTTTCAACCAATCAGATGCTTTATTTCAACATTGTTACTATGGTAACCAGCACATTTTTTGGAAATTTTTCATCCCCATGAGCATGTGGACGTTAAATTAATAAGTGGAAATTTTCTTGAACATGGTAGCTATTATATAATTAGAAAAAATTGAAATAATGTTGACAATATTTTTCATTATCAGAAAACCTAGTGAGAAAATCATATGAAATCCAATTATTTTTATATAATAATGTATCTGATACTATAAATTTTGTTTTACCAATGTTTTCTTTTTAAATATAATTCCAGTATACAATTTTCACTTATAATATCACGAGAATTTCCTAAATATTCGTGTTGGAGAAAAAATTCGCGGATATTAATTGAAGCTAAAGTGGTATTCGGTAAGAAAATTTACATGTTGATGGTTGTTTGTGATGAAATGTAAGAACTTACATATAGTAACAACATGTGTTTTGTGAATTTCGAATTTGCAAGTATACCTACCATATGGTAAACTGTTGATGAATGATTCTTATTTATTGACTTATAGAATGAACTCGAAATAATCTGAAGTTGAATGTGAATGTCATTTAACCTATAAACGTCAAAAAATTTCCAGTGTAATTTCATGCTCCATCCCCAAGGAGGAAAAAATTTCCAAGAAATTTGTTTAGTTGCTATGGTAACGATACGAAATACAGGCTTTAAATTGATCGAAAATGTTTGGTGTGAAATTTTCTTACCGAATCCCCCACGTTCCTGAATTAATTGTGGAAAATTTGTCTCCTATATGAATTTTTACTCAAAAAATTTCCGGCAATAATTAATTCCCTAGGGGATTTATAAGTGATAATTTTGATGCACTTTAGTTTTAAATGGTTTTAATTTCATTATTTTTTAGATGTTGGAATGGTTGTACCATATGAATACAGAAAAGCATGTGCCTAGCAAATATAGACAACTTTTTGGGCTGTCACTGAGGGCACTGAGACATGAAAGTGAGTTTGTGAAAAATCAGAGATGGATGAGATATTTAAACTGCTCAATAGATTTTTGATATACTTTTTTATTTGCTGTCTTTTATTCATACTTATACACCTATAACCTAACCTAAAACATTAAAATATACTGGGAGTATTTGAGAAAATTGCACATGGTGAAATCATTGGCTATCATATTTACAGAGGCTGAAAATCTTTACATTCAACAGATATTACATTCATTTTCCTACATAGACAAGTTTAGCTTTGAGAGATAGGACATATATGATATATGTCTTTCCCTTCTGTTTTTGTGTTCAGGATTCCAAGGTGAAATGAAATACTATTTTAACCTCAATATGAAGAAGGTTTGAAATGTTTTTTTCTCCATATCTTCTCACTTTTAAAAGTGTTCAGAAAATTTCCAGAATATTTTGATCAAACATCAAATAGCTAGAAAGTTTCTGGTTTGTGGTGGTCAATATACAGGGTGATTCAGGTTTTAAGGCACAAACTGAAATGGGAGATACATCAATCAATCAATCTTTTATTTTCCTTAAAATGACAAAAATTTTACATTTTGTATAGGAATAGTCAGCACCTTATATCTAACTTATAACTAAAACTAAATAAATAAGAAAAAATAGAATAAAAACAAGCAAAAGGGGTTATGGGTCTAGACAATATATCACGTACATAATAGAGTGGATCACAGAGGACTAGATAAAAACTCATCGAGTGTGTAAAAACAGTTGATCAATAAAAGCGACTTCAGACGTTTTTTGAATATTGATAAATTTTCAGCTCTTCTGATGATTTCTGGCAGATGATTAAATATTTTAGGTCCAATGCATTTTGGAGCATTTTGGGTAATTTTATATTTTGCAGCTTTGACATGTATCATTTGTTTTTGACGAGTATTTGAAGTGAACTACGATATACAGGCCTTATGAACTACAATGTACACGCCTTGCAATAGGAGCACTCGTTATATATTGAAATATGGGGAATCAAGAAGGTGAAGAAAGGGAGATGACAGGAGGTTGTCACAAGAGAAAAGGGAAGGATTGCATTCAAAAAGTGCATGTATCTTTTTCAACGGAGAGAACCTAACATAAGAATCTTCGAGTATCCTGATATACAGGGCAAAGCAGTTTGTTGGCAGCGCTGGAGTCAAACCACTTGAGTTGAGCAGTCACGGAAGGTTGTTACTACAGAGGCACAGACAGAGGATCTTTGATTTGGTACCTGACTCTTATGACTAATGGTTATTCTGAAAGGCTGTGAGTAGTTCATGAACATTCATACGCGATTCGGTTAGTGAGTTCACGGGGGACTTTTTAGGTATATTTCTTTGTTTAGGGTTTAGATATAGTACCTAATGCATGTATGTGGACTTTAATAAAATATGTTTTTTGATGGAATTCTCCTAACTCAATGCAACCAGCTACAGTTTGAATCCGAAGAAGAGTATCTCATTCTCAAATAATATTGAAGTTTATTATATATTCTTGTCATGAATATCACTATTTAGAATGAAGTCGCTTTTATTAGTGAATACATAAACTGAAATTTCATATACATATATATATATCCTTATGAGAGTTGGAATTTTCTGATATATGAATAGAGTTCTACATTAACAACGTCTAGGAGTATTGAATACACATCGTAAAATAGCATTCTGTTCAATAAAGACGTTTCTACCCATTGTTGAGTTGCCATCTCATCATTTTGAACAAAAAAGTTTATATAAACATAAGTCCGATCTCGTTTATTAGCGGAGCTACAGGGGGTCAAAGTTTAATTATTTTTTTCTATTAATTGAAATATCTCGCTTACTTTTCAAGATATCGTTTTGAAATTTGGTGTGGTCAATACTTTCTAGAAGATCATCATTTAAAGCCATTTAAAGATTTTTAAAATCTACAGGGAGATACGTTTTTGGGGGTAGAGGCTTCTTTATCCCCCCCAAACTTTTTCGTAGTACGCCTCTGGCATCTTTCAGTGATCAAATTGTGTGGTTTGTTCAAGTTACAGGCTTTTTCGCTCTTCCATTTTTTTCGAGAAACAAACCGGTTTTGAGATAAATAAGCATATAATATGTTCTAAAACATATTAATTTTGCCTATGTTTCACGTTGAAAATGCAATGAAATGTACTCACAAAAATTGCAATCACGAGTCCAATCTGGATCAGTATTGGGGATACAGATGGTAAAAAGTCCAAGTTTTTTTTCAGTTGAATAAAATTCAAGTGAAACAGGCAAAATTAACATGTTATAGAACGTATATGCTTATTTATCTCAAAAACGGTTCGTTTCTCGAAAAAACTTGAAGAGCAAAAAAAGCCTCTAAATTGAACGATCCACATAATTTGATCACTGAAAGATGCCAGAGGCGTATCACGGAAAAGTTTGGGGGGAATAAGGAAGCGTCTACCCCCATAAACGTATCACCCTGTAGATTTTAAAAATCTTTAGATGGCTTGAAATGATCATCTTCTAGGAAGTATTGACCACACCAAATTTCAAAACGATATCTTGACAAGTAAGCGAGATATTTCAACTAATAGAAGAAAATAATTCAGCTTTGACACCCTGTAGCTCCGCTATTGAACGAGATTGGACTAATGTTTATATAAACTTTTTTGATTAAAATGATGAGATCTATCTTCCATTTCAGTTTGTGCCTTAAAACCTGAATCACCCTGTATAGTCTTTTTTGTATCAAAATAATTATGAAATTCCTTTATGAGTTATTTTGAAAAAACGAATGCTTTCTCTAATTTTATCAAAAACTAATGGTCAGTTGATTAATTTAGAATGAATTAAAAACAAAAAATTCTTGGGAATTTTGGAATATGCCTTTTTTTCTGAGTATTTGTAATATGGAGCTAAGGATATTTTTTCAAAGATTAAAAAAACAAATGGAATACTAACTTCACGAAAAATTTGATATTTTTGGTAGGATACCAAATCAATGAAAATATCCAAACTCTCAGAATTTGAATAAAATGAATAATCATGATTTCTGATCAGAATACTGTTCAGTCTATCCAAATTACTTGCTATACAGCAGTTTCATTGTCAGCTGTCACAGATATAGCCAATGTAGCAGGCCTAGAGTCCAGTCTTTCTGAAATGCTAAGCACTTCCTCCTCTGTAGTGTAACTCAAATGCACATTTCTATTACGTTCCACAGGATGTTTCCTTTGAGGAGTCCTATTTGGAGATGACTTTCTACTTGTGTTATAGGACTTGAGTAGCTTTGCTCTAAAAATATCAAATCTAAGTGACTTTCTTCTTAAAATTGTTCTTTACTCACGCATCAACTAATTTTAATAAAAGTCTGTTATACTGCTGATATTCTTCATCTCCAAAATGATTTGGATCATGTCTAGCATGCTCATACATATCACAAAACTGGTGAATCAGTCTCTGACCACTGCCATTCAAAGGTGCAGCTAGAGTTGTCAAGAGATATGCTCTCAGGTTTTCAGTTGGGTGGCGAAAAAGACAAGGATCCTGTTTTGTAATCTCACCCTCTATAATGGGAAAATTTGCTATGAACACTTATTATTATATCTGCATTGAGTTTACCTAGAATTTTAACATCATCTACAGCTTTGAGTCGGTAATAGTGAGCTGGAATTTGTTGCCCAGGGCAAACAATATATCTAGGATCTGTTTTGCTTATCAACAATGGCTCACATTCAATTTTCTGTATAAGATCAATTCTTCTCTCAATTTCACGTTTTAAAACCTGTGAACAACCTGAATAATGAACTGATATGATATTCATGCATTGGGCTGTTTGAATACCTTTGATCCATCATGTCCTATAGGAATATGGGGCCCCCTTCGTGACCTAAGAGCAAAGCGCATGATCTGTCTTTTAGCAAATATGAACAAGAGGAGGAAAGTGAGGACTCCTAGGCCTATGATTATGACTACAGTAACGCCAGACAATTCCTCAGACATATTTTTTGGCTTGGTCAACTTTTCTGCCTTCACAATCATTTGCAATGCCATCTATTCATGTAGTTTTCAGTGCAATTGTAAAAATCGTAAAAAAATAAAAATTGTAATTACTATGAATTATTCCTGATTCCTACCTTCGTAGGTGTTTGAAACTAAAATTCTTTCTTATTTAATTAATAATGGTTTCATTGTATGGTATGTATCCATTGATATTGATCTGACAGTAATAAGCGTCCTGTTTGTGCTTGCTCTGCCTGCTAAACTTGAGTTTTTCTATGACTCTCTCTGTTTACATCATGCTATGAACAGAGACAACTATATAAAAAAATCAACTTTAGGAAGTTTAGCAATACAAACGAACAGGCCTATGTAGTGGAGTAGTGACACTAGTGACAGTTATTCAAAATTATAAACATAAAACATAACCAAAAATTTCTTCTTCCATTTTTATTTATTTTTTCGAAGCTCAATGCTCTAGGAGCTATCCGGCTTACTCAATTTCACGTGTCTTAGGTGTCAAAATAAAAATGTATTTGACAAATACGAATAACCTAGAAAAAAAAAAAATTTGAAAATTGTACTGAAAAGCGTGGAAACTAGTGGAAAGTAGGAAATTAGAGACAACAACCCAGAGGACACATTGAAAACACTATTGCATCAACATGTGCTCTTAAAATTTGTATATTTTATTTTTTAATTTGATTAACCAGCTGCAGCATAGGAGCTGAGCATGTCTCAGATATTCGATGGTTTGGACTTCAATCCCAGCTTCAAGACAGATAATGAATATGCCAAAAACTATAATAACTGGAGAAATAAGGAGGAACTGAATAAGTGTAGGTTATTTTTATAAAACATCAAGTAATCAAGTATTACCTTGAATATTTTCTTCAAGTTAAAACCAAGTATGGTGAAGATATTGACCAAGAAGAATCTTCAAGTTCATCTGAAGATGAAGATGGTATAGAATTGTCAGAGAATCTAGAGAAAGACTTTTTCAAAACACTAGCCTGTTTGAAAAATAAGGATCCACGAATCTATGATGAAAATGTACAGTTCTTCAGTGAAAACATTGAAGAGAGTAGGAAAAGTTCAAGAAAGAAGAAGGATGAGGTAGTAACAATAAAAGACTATGAGAGAAAACTCATATTAGAGAAAGGGGGAGTACTCAGTGATGAAGAGGATGAGTATGAAGAAAATAGGCCAAGGTAGGATTGGAAATTTGATTTTGCACAAATGTATGATTCATGATCTTAGGTCACCAACATATGTTGAAGAGCAGAAGCAATTGAAAGAGAATTTGAAGAAAGTCCTTGATGATGTTGATGAGGATAATGAAGATAATGAGTGGGGAGGCATTTTCCAACAGAGGCAAAAAACTAAAGAAGAAAAAGACAAGGAAGAAGCTGATTACAAAAAGTGGCTGACAGGGCAGAAAAAGAATTTAGATGACAAGACTGTAGAGTCTGAATTGAAACCACTCAAAGATTATTGGAACAAACCAGACCTTGATGAGGAGGAAAAATTCTTGAGGGATTATATCTTGAAGAAGAAGTAAGTAGGGAGATGGGTATAAGTGTCTAGATATATATTTTTTTTGAATTTCAGGTTCTTAGATGATGATGAGGATGATCATGTTCCAACTTATGATGAAATAGTTCATGACTCAGATCAGGATTTGTCAAATGATGAAGAAAACATTGAGAAGCAAGAGGAATTTGAACACAAGTTCAATTTCAGGTTTGAAGAACCTGACCAAGAATTTGTAAGTTAATTATTGAATTATTTTGAAACACAACTTGGTCATAGAATTGTTTTTATTGCCAAAGTTATTTTAGATCAAACAGTTTCCCCGTACTGTGGAAAATTCTTTGAGAAGAAAGGATGATAGAAGGAAAGTGAAAAGACAAGAAGTGAAAGAAAGAAAGAAAAGTGAAAAGGACGAGAAAATGAGGGAGCTGAAAAAACTCCAGGAGTTGAAAAGAAAAGAGATTGAAGACAAACTGGAGAAATTGAAAGAGATCACTGGAAATGAAAGTTTAGGATTCAATGTGAGCATTTTTTTTTTCATTATTTTATTTATTTATTTATTTATTTCAGTTATTGCATTACATTCTCTTCTGCATTGATACATTTCATACAAATAATATATAAAGTATAATTAATTTTCTAGTAGGAATAATGACATGAATGATCAGACAGTAATTCCTGGTATAAGATCATTCATGAAGTATTATCGACTGGTGTAATTGAAATTACAAATAGTGAACAAAACTTACATATCATTAAGATACAGTCATATTATAGTGAACAAGAAGGGGAAAAATAAAAACAGTGAAAAAGAAAAAAAGGAAATTCATAGTCTTTCAGCTTTGATCATTCCTTTGCATATAAATATATTTCTTAACTTTATTTTTGAATTGCTTAATATTTGGGCTGTTTTTGATATCATCTGGTAATTTATTGAATTTAGAAATCGCCTTATGTGTAAACTTTTTTTGCCCAAGTTTAGAATTTGCAGCTTCAAGATGAAACAAGTTATATTGTCTAGTGTGATGATCATGAATTTCGGAATTCCTGATCAATATAAAATTTGATTTAAGCTTTTTGTTGATGATATAATAGGAAATTTTGAGAGTATTGATTAAAAAGTGCTCTTCCAAAGAAAATGTGTTTGTTTCCTTATACAGTTGATTCGTTGGAGTATCATATGGAAGATGATACAATACTTTCAATGCCTTTTTATATAGAACAGAAATTTTATTGAAACTATTTTTGGAACAAGATCCCCAAATATTAATGAGATATTTAATTCGACTGAGTATATGTGAATAGAGAATAATATTTGATGTATATGTACTAAGTTTAGGACATCTTCTCAAAGCACCAATAATGGGAGATACTTTTCCTATGAGGATGTCTATATGCTTTCCCCATGTTAATTTCTCATCAATCCAAATACCAAGGTATTTGGTATGGGCAGTTTGTTTCAAACGTTCATTTTTTATTCTAATATTCAGATCAATATTTTGTTTATTTCTTTGACGAAAAATCATATATTGAGTCTTATTAGAATTGAGAGAAAGAAGATTGGAATAAAGCCATTTCTCAACTTTTTTCAAGTCCTCATTTATGATATGTTCTAGAACTACTGGGTTTTTATTCTCATTGAGATCTTTAATAAACTTAGTAGTGTCTCGAATAAATGATGAGAAATGTTTTTTCAAGAAATTGAACTTGTACTGATTGTTGAATATGATAGGGAGAAGATATTGATGGTGATTTTGATCCAGATGAACATGACAGAAAAATGAAAGCACTATTCAGTGATGAATATTATGCAGGTGAAGAAGATGAACAAAAACCACAGTTTCCAGATCTAGATGAAGAACTAGAAATCGGTAAGACCAATAACTGAAAGCATTTGAATTTCTGTATAATATCTTTTTTTTCTCTATTAGAAAACTGGGAACGTTACAATGTTGGCAATCAAGATGCCTCCCATTGTGAGGATGATGACTTCAATGTAAGAAACCATCTGCAAAATCTCTACCTGTTTTTTCATATCAATGTCATTTCAGATGGACTGTGATTATAATCCACAAATGTCCACCCAAGAAGAGCTTATCGAAAACAGCCGAGGTAGGAAAAAACGCAAGCGGAAGTCCAAATTTGCTGAGGCCTTGGGCAAACCCAAGCCAAAATACGACCCCAGCGACAGAAACTATGAGAAATACTTTGATGATTACTACAAGTTGGACTGCGAAGATATCGTGGCGGACATTCCCTGCAGGTTTAAGTACCGCAAAGTGGCCCCCAATGATTTTGGATTGACCACTGAAGAGGTATGTTTGATCTAAATGCATATTTTTCCTTTCTTTCTTCTTCTCATTTTTCAGTCTCATATACTTGATGCAAGTTTTTATGAAGTTTTTTACATCATTAATGATGACAAAAATAAAATTGGTGTGTAAAAAAATTTGAAATAATAGCTTAAAAATAGGTTCTGAGTTGTTTTGATTTCCTAGCTTTCTGGTGTGACGAAAAAGTTAAAAATGGAGAGTACTAGTAGTTCTACAAAAAAAAGAGGATGCAATTTCACAGCAGAGGAGAAAAATTTGCTGATTAAAATAGCGAATCAATACAAACGTGTGATTGAAAATAAAAAAAACGGATGGGGCACAGACTCATATTTATCAACAACCAAAAACTCATAAAACAGAAAACCTCGAAAACAATCAACAATACATGACCTTGTTCTTGTAACAACCAATGAGATTGCTTACATTTATTCATCAGCATTGCCAACTTTCATTATCTGGCAGTTGATTAACTGGAGAATAAAAATGAGTTGATGAACCACTTCCAAACAAACTGGAAGTTTATCTGCTAGATATTTTTATCTGACGGATAACTAACTGATGGATAATATTGGCAATTGATAAACCGACCCTCAGTCAAAGGACTGAAATCCAGTGATGCCACTTGGAAAGATAGCTGATACTCTTCCAGAAGAATTAGGTTATAAGTTCATCACATGTTTAAGTCCAATAGCGAATTCCATTGGTAAAACTGGGTTGCACTAAGTGCATATTTTGTATTCCATTGGTAAAACTGGTGCCGGATTTTGAATTCCATTGGAAAACTGGTTCACATAGTTTAGAGCTCAGTGCAACAATTCTCGCAGGAGCTCTAATAGGTCTTGTGAAGTAGGTGCATTTTTGAAAATGGCGGAAACCGGAAACATTGAATATACGTAGTTTGACAACCAAAATTAAGTGGCAATCTAATCATCATCATCAAGTAGTGATGAAAATTTGGACGTTTCAAGAAAATAAAGGAGACTACTGCAGAGAATTCATAATTTTGTTGAGTGTTTTGCACTAAAATTCAATGATGAAGAGGTTCTCATTGAAAAAAACTGCTCAGAATCATTTCCATGAAACATCTACTCCGTTTTTAATTGAAATCGAGAAAGAATTTAAGGATACGGACAAGTTATAAACAATGACAAACCAATTTGAGCGATTGAATCTCCAACAATTATGTTATTTCCTATTCTTTTTTTCGAACTAATGTAGTGCAGGTGCTATAAAAGAATGGCTTCCTAGCTAAACTTTGCCTGGTGCACATTACATCTATGCCTCATTTTACCAGGTGATATTCTTTGGAGAAAATGAAGACGATTAAAAAAAACTCATATTTCCTCTCAAAAATATGGAGAAACTTTTCCATCCTAGGGATCCTTAGATTCAATTAATAGCTAGAATAAATGGCCCAGAACTAGATGTAATTTCTCTTGGTAGATGGGTTACAATTGTTACAAAGTGTCTGAAACTCATGAAATGATGGCCACATATATTTTACTTCTGGGGTCAAGAATACAAATGTCAAAGATTGTGATTTGAAAATTAAAATTGTGACTCACAAGGACGTACCAAAATTTCTTTTCTAACGTAAAAAATTAAAATATCAAATATTCGGAAATAGAGAAGAAATAAACTCAGATATTCCTAGTGTCTCGGACATACATCAAAGCTTTCAAAAGTGCCAAACATCTATACTAATTTATACTAATATTGAAAAGAGGAAAGATTTGATTGTTTGTGTTTGTTTGTTTGTATTGAATAGGCTCCGAACTTGGTGAGGAGGTAGCTCAGAACCAGTAGAAGGTTATAGGATACTTTTTATCCCGGTAACAATAGGAAATTCAAGATGGCGGACCTTATATTAGGCATTCCAGAACCCGTGACCTAAAAATGGCCGCTGTACCTGCCCCGTTTCCGTCCGTACTTCAAATGTCAAAAATTTACTTCCTCTTCCCCTAAATTGCGAATTTTAAGGTTATGATCTTCACTGATTTTGTTTTGATTTTTTGATATTATAGTTTTTATCATGAATAAAGTGAATATTTATTGACATTAGAAATTTCTGGTGGTCATAATATAGAGCGATACAAAGTAAAAATTCAAGTCATCGATTCTATTGATCCCTATTCTCTGCAGAATAATGGAAACTCAGGCTCCGATGTTTCCTGGAGTCACTTCAATAGATATCTTGACATGATATAATTGTCCTCCTCCTAGTTTTTATACTGCAGAGCAAACGAAAGCTCATGAAAGTTTGAGTGGGTATAAATTTTCTGAGGCATGTTTTGTACAAATACCTATGTGGAGTGAAGAAAATCAGTGGCATATGTTTGTTCTAGGCAGTCATACCACAGTATAGAGCTCTAATAGAGCTCTATACTGTGGTCATACTATGAGTGGATAATTGATAGTCTATACTGTGGTACCTACTTGTTAAATATTTGATATTTTTGTAGGTGAAACATTTTGAAATAATGATTTTACCCTCACTAGAAGTCTGATGGGTATTGTGTAATAGTGATCAAGGAATAAATACAGAGCCCATCACACCTGCATGGCTGGGCTGTCAGAAGTTAGGACAACAGTAACTCATATTCAACCTATAGAAGGCAACAGCTCTCAGAAATATTGAAATCTTTAAGAGAAATTGACCTAGCAAATATCTGATATCCCTGCCATGCATAAGCAATTAATCATATTAATTTCTCAATCATTTTCACACAAAAGAGGCATATTATAGTGAGTGTAGGTACTTTCCTCCTTTGATGCCCTTTTACTTACAAGGACAATACCAAATGCATATCACTGATTCCCTCCACTTTACCTATTTGTGCAAATCCTGTTTGGAAAATTTGTATCAAACTCTTGTAAGCTCTCTGATCTGCAAGGATTCAAACTATTATGATTCAACTCTGAATATCTAAAAATGTATTCTGACCATAGTAACTCCAAAAAATATTTTGATGTTAGTCTTGCTCTGCAATATCACTACTGGAAATTTATGTCAAAAATATTTAATTTGTTCTTAAATACTAGACAAATATGAAAATTCACAAATAGGATATTGACACAATTCCCCCACATATCTACACAAAAATTAAGCTATATTGTAAATAGTTTCTTTTAACCTTATAATTCATTAAAACACTACATATTCATGCTTCATGATTTTATTCATCTTAACTATAGTTTTCTCAAACACATTTCAATGTAATACCTGTAATAATAATTATATAGTCAACAGAATGTCTTGTTTGCTGTATTGACCAACAATTCATTGAAAAACAGATCAACCTTGTTCATCAATAATTCTTCTTGAATTTGAAATTTAGAAATTTTGACTATCATCACAGTTCCTCAAAGTATCTATAGATATCATAATCACACAAAATACTTATTAATAATTACAAACATTTGCTATCATAATGACTACCTATCATTCATACACAAAATACAAGGAATATTTTTCTCAACAATTTGATTATGAATTAACATATGAATCCACTGTTCATTGATGTTTCATGAAGAGTTTGTGAAAATTGACCAACCAAAAGTGTTGGCACAAAGAAAAATGTCTCACAACAATATAATAAATTTCAATCTTGTTCATTAGTGTGTTAGAAAAAAAACTGAGTATTTCTACTCCTGTGTTCCCAAATATCTACCAATCATGATTCATTATTTAGGTGAGTTGTGAGTGAGAAGAAAGTCCACTCATGGGCAATAAGAACAAGCAAACCAGTTTTGTTCAAAATTCAAAAACAGGCATATCTAAATATCAATTTTGCAAATGTAATCTTATCATTATTTAATCTGAAATGGTGACTTCAACATAAAATATTGTATCTTTTTTCACTCCACATGAATTCTCACATTGTCAGTAGCTCTAGTTCCCACAATCTCAGTAGGATGTAATTGTTTCTTTCCTTTTGTAAAAGCTTGAATCTTCACTTGGGCATTCAAAATTTGTACATAGTCACCAACCAAAAAGCCATGGTCACCTAAAATCAAATCACCTACAAATTGAATTTGTATTAATTGAAAGTTGGATAGATACTGTTTGAAATTCAGATGGGTTCAGGAAGATTGTTAGAACAGTAGACATACATAAATAGATTGAAAGTCAAGACGAGTGGAACATTTTCAACAGTGCATGCTATTTAATAAAATTAGTTTTTCCATGCATATAAAAGATTTCTAGCTTTTAGTCAATAAAACTAATTCAAAAAGTTTATTATCTTTCAGTAATTCTGGATCCAATAAAGATTGGTATCAATTATATTCAATTGATCTTGTACAGAAACTCACCTGGAATAATATTATCTATTAATTTTGAATTGATTGTTATGGGATAATCAGATGCTCTTTCTCCACAAGCCTCACTGATCAAACATACTGTTCCTTGTGGGGTGATTCCTATCAAATTATAATAAGATCAGCACTAGGCTGACAGCTCTGATATATGTTTGTGAATATTTATCACATTCAGGAACTATACTAAGGTTCTCATCTTGAAAATCTGATGATCCTACAGCCTGTTCATTAGATGGCCCTGCAGCCTGTTTGAAATCAGATGGTCCTGCAGCCTCAGCTTGGCATTCTGATGTTTCCATATCATTGATAGTTTCCTTAGATTGGTTGTCAGAGGCTAAGCTATCATATGCCGAAAATAAACTGGGATCCCAGTTAGGATTATTAACATCTGATAGATATGTAGGTTTCCCTAAAATTTCCATTATACCTATTATATTTACTACTATTCATTACCTGTTTCAGTGAACTCACCAAGTAGGTAGGAAATGTTTTCTGCAAACTCTCTCAACATTTTGAGTTTCTGCTCCATCAAACCATTTCTATTTATCCACTTGTCTCTTCTTTTGATAATTCATTGTTCCAATTTATGTCTAAATTTCAAGACACTCAGGATTTGATGAAACTTCATGCTATCACGATATTACCGACTCTTACAATTGATTATTCCACAATAAAACATTGTTATAACACAAACAACAAGCAAAACCTATCCAAATAGTGTCCAGAATACACCACAGGAATACACATCAACTATTCAATAATTTTCATAAAGATGATGCAATCCTAATAAAACTAAGTATATAAAGTTCAATTATCAACTAAATAAGCGAAGAAAGCAGCATTTAACACATTTTAAATTTAATTGAAAATATGGTTAAAAAAGTCACGGAATGACAGCTATTTGTTTGGGTACAGCAACCATCTTGAATCTGATTTTGACAGCATTCCGAAATACCTAATATCGGACGACTTTTGTAATTATGGTCCGATTCTATTCAAAATTGGTATCTGGGGGTTTTCGGGGTCGGATATTATATTATTTCGTCAGAATGTGAAAATTCGGGCGGAATTTTGAAATTCAAGATGACGGAACCAATATGGCGGACGAGTTTTGTAATTAATTATAATCCGATTCTTTTCAAAATTGGTATGTAGGGGTTTTCGTGATCGGGGATTATGATTCCTTCGTCATAATTAAGAAATTCAAGACGGCGGATCCAAAATGGAGGATTTTGTAATTAGGATCCGATTTTATTCAAATTTGGTATTTGGTGGTTCTCGGGGTCGGAGATTATGATTCTTTCGTCAAAATAAGAAAATTCAAGATGGCGGACCCAATATACGGCGGACGAGTATTGTAATTATGATCCGACTCTCTTCAAAATTGTTATCTGGGGTGTTTTCGGAGTCGCAGATTATGATTATTTTGTCAAAATTTGGAAAGGCGGGATTTGAAAATTCAAGACGGTGGAACCGCAATATACCAGACGAGTTTTGTAGTTATATACCGATTCTATTCAAAATTTGTAAGTGGGCGGTTTCGGGATCAAAAATTATGATTCCTTCGTCAAAATTAGGGAATTCAAGATGGTAGATCCAATATTGCGGACTAGTTTTGTAATTACGTTCCGATTCTATTCAAAGTTTTCATCTGGGGTTTTAGGAGTCGGATATTTCGATTCATTCGTCAAAATTGGGAAATTCAAGTGAACTAAAAAGATGTTGAAATAAATGGTAGTTTGAAAAACTAAAGAAACAAGCTTTTATAGATAGCGAAACCAAAAAGAAGTAGAAAATAAAATAATAATAGTGTCTTGATGAATTTTGAACTGAAAAAATATATTATAGAAATAATGTATATAGCAAAACAACGTTTGTGAAGTCTGATCTAGTACTATATAAAATATTTACTTCCCTCAAGAGAGCGCTAAAATTGAGAGAAAGCTCACTAATATTCATATTACCGATTTCTTCATTGTATAACTTTTCGATAATTGGTACATTGTACCTTCAGCCAACGCCCTCCTATTCGAATTCTATCGGTCAGTGAAGGGATAGCATAGTTGAGGGTCGGATAAAAAGCTTTTCCCCCTATTTTTTCAAATGAACAATTTTCCGCAAGTCAACAGTCTGTTTCGTTTTTGTTGGGCCAACCTGTATAGATGCTAGAAGAATCATTTCCAGCAGTTTGATTAGTCTATTTCCTATCCAGATTCTGTTGGCAAACGAACGGGAATTGAACAAGTGGTGTTCGCTTAAAAAAGCCGTCCAGATACGACCAGATCACGTGGAAAAATTCGAGCAGGTGGCTTATAAGAAGAAGGGGCAAAATGTGAATTTGAAGAGAAAAATTTTACCGAGCCTGTTCTCTAAGGAGCCTGATGACGGTGCACCGCAAGGCTCTAGCTCTAATGTTGTCACAGACCAATCAACTAACGATCGAAATGTCCAGAAAAAAGAGTTAGAAAATCAGCAAGGAGAATCTAAAAATGAAAAGAAGATCACTACTTTGGCGAAGAAAATTCTATCTAACGATTCTGATGAATTACGTTCTGAAGAAGTTGCAGACCATTCTAGTACCAAGGAAGCTATCCAAGACAAAGTTCAAAAGAGCGAAACTGTAAATAAAAAGAAGAAGAAAAAGAAGAAGAAGCCAAAAACTAATTTGGTGAAGAAAGATACACCAAGCTTGGTTTCTGACATTCCTAATAAGGAAAATTTGAATTCTGAAGAAGTTACAGACCAACCCAAAACCAACAAAACAATGAAGAAAGAGGAAGAAGAAGCAAAACGGCAAACACCAGCATCTTTGAACAAGAAGAAGAGGAAGAAGAAGGCTCCCAAGCTGATGAAAGGAGAAGAAAAAACTTCTCAAATTTCAGCTAAAGATAAGAAGAAGTTGAAAATTGAAAGAAAACTAGGGGTGACAAAGGAGGGAAGTTTGAAGGATACCAAGATGCCCGGTAAAATAAAGCAATTGAAGAGGAAGAGGAAGAACAGTGATAATGATGGTGCAATTAAGAAAGGTTCAAAAAGGGTCAAAATTTCGAAACAGGGTGATGGTAATAATTTATTGGGTCTGTCTGATGCGAGACTATCTGCATATGGTATTAATCCTAAGAAATTCAAGAATAAATTGAAATACAAGAAGTAAAATCAAATTTGTTTTTTTTTCACTATTTGTTCATCCAGAGATGCATACATATAATATGTTGTTCTGAAATATAGAATATTTTATTTGCCCAGTAAGAGATACTTTCCGAAATATTGAAGATTTTTGCAACTTGTGGTCTTTTGATCAGATTTTAGTTCCTATCTGTTTTTACATTTTTTAAATCAACATAATTTTGTTGATTTCATGAAGTTGACACTTAAATGATTAAATAAAAGTAATGACTTCATTTTCGATCCTGTACAGGGTGTCTCACCTAAATGTGTCACCTCTCCTCAATCCTTATTGTAAGTCTCAACCTTCTTTTGCCATTCAAAAACATTCCTGGGATAATTTTTCACGAATTTTTTCAATCTGTGTTCACTTTTTCTTCATATCAACAAAATAACAGGGTAGCTAATGAAAAAAAAAATTTTTTTTCAATTGAAATGATCTAAATTTTATTCGATAATAATATATGAATGCTATACCGGGTGTCCCAGAGTATACGTTGTTCCAATGAATTATCTCAGCCATCTCGAAAAATAAAAGTTCGCAAATTCCATGATCTCCAATTCGTTCAAGAAAGCTTCAACTGAGAAAAACAAACCGGAAAAGTGACTCTTAACTTTTTTATTTCAAATAGCATCCTGTATATTTTTTCTGAAATTTCTGATTTCTATTCAAAATTACCGTTTCAACAATCACACTTCGTATTTTAAATTTAATTTGATGGAGAAAACGACAATTGAAATTTCAAATTGAACGAATCGCAGCAGTAGGTTACGATATTTTTGTAATCTTAATTTTGACTTCAATGATAATTTCAAATTATTAGAATTGTAGTAAATCATGTAATTTTCAAATTTTCATCTTTCGAAATGGCTGAGATAATCTATTAGACCAGGTATACTGGGACACCCGGTATATATTCGCATTCGGATTGACAGGCTTCATCGAATTATGGAAAAAAATATCGATCATTTCATTTGAAAAAATAAATTGTTTTTTAGCCATCCTGTAATTTGTTGATGTGGAGAAAAAGTGAGCACAGATTCAGAAAATTCGTAAAAAAATATTCCAGAAAAGTGTTTGAATGACCAAAATATGTTCATATGTAATTATAATTACAAGGATAAAGAGAGGGTGGTGACACATTTGAGTGGGACACCCTGTACAGCCATGAGGCCACTTGAATTATTCCGAATATTCAACTCTAATTGAAAAAGTATTTTTTGTACGAAATAGTTTTTCAATTCCAGAATATTTTCATCAATACTATTATGTTTTCTGGTCCCATTCCTTGATCGAAAGATCGATTTTGGTTAGAAAAAAGTCATTTTGTAACCATTCTTCTTTTTTGTACTTCAATTTCAAGATGTTTTGATGAATACTATGTTTCTATGTGTCCTATTTTAATAACAAATTTGCGATAAGATGCTTTTGAACTATTTTAATCTTTTGGGAGCAGAGGGTGTACAAATCTAGAATATCAAATTACCTGATAATGCGTATGTGGGATGTTACCTATAGTCATTTTAGTATTATTCCATCATGTTTGTTGTAAACATCATTTTTTTAGTTTCTATTATCATTGGTGAGTAGGTACAAAAAATAATTTAATTATATAGGAGTGGGAAAAGATGTCTAGAGGGCGATATCTTCTAAAATTTCACGAAGAAAGTTCACACAAACTTGCCTTGTTTTCGAAGATCAAGTTGTCAAAGTTTCGGTAAAAATCATATACATGGTGATTAAAAAAATGATACTTTTAACTCCAAACATGTTTTTATGACCATGTTTTCATTAAATATGATGATTAATAACCCTCTGAAATTTTCATATTCATTCATTCACACCCTGTAAAACGTGAATACTACATGAATAAATTTTTTAATAAAACAATTTTGATACCTAGTTACGAATACTCCATGAACCATAACAATCACCTCTGTATATACTGTCTATATACTAGTCGATGAAATTACTATTATCAATAATAGCATAGAATACAGAGATCCAAACTACCGCATTTCCGGTAACGTTTAATTTCTGTCAAGGATATATCTCGATGTAAATGCAAAAATCGGTACCACAATCATCAACGTGAAAAAATCATCCAGCACATCTTTGGTTCTTATTTTTCATTAATATGATATTTACAAAAATCGGTAGATGTGCTTTACTTTTTCAGTTGATCCATTTTTTCGGTAAGTACAAACATGTGAACAAATTGAAAGAACAGTAATAGTGCTTTCTGTTGATTTTTTCAGTTGCAATCAATGCCCAAGATTACGCCTGTCCACCTAGTAATTCTGATACTCCATTGGGAAAGTTGAAGGACAGTGTGTTATGCAACTATGACACGTCAGTGAGACCAGTAGCTAACCACGAGAAGGCCATGAATGTGAGCTTTAGACTCGTTCTCAAGTACTTCACTTATGTAAGTAAATTGATGATGTTGCCAAATCCCGATAGAATTGTTTTCAACTGATTTTTCTGACGTCTTATGTTCTGCCATAAGCTGAAAAATTGTTTTGTTGTTCTAAAATTGTTCTATCCATCATTCGGTTGCCCCCTTACGAGCAACCCTCAGAAGTCTTCGAAAGTCTTGTGCGAGCAAGGAATTACGGGGGCCTTACCTTTTAACGTGTGATCCCGAACACTTTCTTGGGCCATCAGAAAAATTTCTGCAGTCGATGAGAAATCGAACCCACGACCGGCAAGCGAATGCAAATTAGAATATAGACACACTGTCCGCACGGCTACCTGGCCCCCTATTTTTAATTTTATGTGTGTTATCCAAAGACTCAAAACTCTCAGAGGGGTAGTTTATTCTTGCTGTTTTTCAAAAACCCTTGCTGAACGAGCATTTATGCTTCGAATTTTTGAACATCTCATATAGACATCCAGTTTCAACTAATGTTCGGTCATCAAATTTTAATTTTGGTCAGCAAATTATATTTTCTCGATAAATACAATATGAAACTTGCTTTGTTGGTTTCCGAAAAAAAATGTGTACACAATACGCCTGGAATAGTATTTTTCCTAACGAGTGCGGGAAAGACACTTTTCGCATGAGTTAGGAACAATATTTTTTTTACAAGCGTAGGAAATTGATTGATTTGTTCAATTAATTATTCCTGCAAATAGGAACAACTAACAATAGTGATATATTCTCTATCTTCTAATAATTAGTGATATATCTATTGTGTGTACCGTTTGAAGCATTATATGTAGGTAAGCTTATTGTGGAAGCCAGCATGCCCATGTTGTTTGGCCTCTAGGTTTCAGACATTTCTAGGAAATGAGCCAAACATACTTCTTCTTTATTTGGTGTTTTCACTTTTTTACTATTGCACCATTTAATAAATCCCGTATAGTGCCTCTTATACCTTCTTTAATACTTCGTTTGCAATAACTCATCTGTATCGCTGTAAGTTTTTCATTGCAATTCCACTGAATCGAAAATGACAGTAACGCTCTGTCTGTCACTATGAGAGTTACACTATAGAGATGTTCTGTAACAGCATCTGAGAGCAAAGTGAGATGGAGAAGATTTTCAGTCATGTGACCTCTGGAGCAATCAGGTCAATAATATATAAAATAACGCTCCTGATGGGGAGTCTACTATTGCCTAGAGTCCCTGTATGTATTTGACACTTCTATTGCCATGCCAATAAAAATTGTGATTTCTTACCGATTTGGATCAAAATATTCTCATTTTCAATTATGGGCACGCCTTTTCTTGTCTGTTCTATACTATAGCTTCCCTCATATTTGGTTTCAATATTTAAGTAGTTTATCTATGATTTATACAAACTTTGCTGCTTGTACTGAACAAATTTATTCGATTCAAACTCAAACCAAACCAGAAACTATAGTGCTAAACCTACAAGTCCAATAACTGATCTTCAGCATTCTCAGTCATTCAACAAAAAGCTGTCAAAGTTGAAATATACCTAATTCCTCTGAATAAATAATTCTAGCAGGAGAATTTTATTTTTTTCCTGGCTGTCAAATTAAAAAACGCTCCGAATAAATTATGTTGCTCTAAATGATATTGATGAACGGCTCCGGAGATGAATGAGCAAATAAATGTGATTGCAGAACATCTTTTAACTAATTTGAGAATGATTTGAGTTTTGATTGACATGACAACAATTGTTTTCCACTCCAGCTCACTAGATTTTTTGTCCATATTTAGCAGGCAATGGTTTCCCACATCAGATCAATTAAAGGCTATAGAGGGATTTATATAACAATCAATTATTATTTTTCAATATTTCTTCATTTTCACAATAAATAGTGCAATTTGATGGATGATTTTGTACAAACTTACTGAATACTGCAACAAAAAAACCTAAAATTTTCTCGTCCAAAATGACAGTATTTTCCTGGATCACGTTGTTTATTTTGTAGGATCCAATCAGTAGTATGCTGAGTTTGGATGCTTGGTTGACAGTGGTATGTTATAAATCTTCGTTATTTGTTGGCCAATATTTCGATAATTTCGCTATTTGTAGACTTGGAAAGATGACCATTTGACGTGGAAACCTGAGCAATACCAAAATATCAAAAACCTGCATCTGCATACCAGTTCTATATGGACACCAGATTTATCAGTGTATAATATGTGAGTTATTATATTTTTCACTATTGCTTATTGCTGATATACAGGGTGTATCTAAATAACACCGAAAAAATTCAAGGGATGATTATACTCAATTGTCTTTCCATCAATTTCAATAAAACGTTGTGGTTTTGTCAATATTAATATGGAGCTTCTTCTGGTGCAATTATATTCGAAATAATATTTCCAGTGGCGTCACAGTGGGTACAATTATCAATATTTATGGTGAATGTCATTGTACGCCACCGGTTTTTCTAAGTTTCATATTTTTATTTGATACCGCGAAATCGAGTGCAAATTTCCGCATAGGAAAGTGCAATTTTTCAATCATTTTGCTCAGGATAGTGATTGGCACAGGTGCCGTTCGATGAACTACAATGTTTTTACATCCCTTTGGGACATATATCATTTCGTTATCCTACTATTATGATTATAATCACTAAACTGACAGATTTAGGTGAAAAAATTACCAACATAAAATTATCTGTCCTACAGGGCAAACCAAGGGGAAGACCCCGAGGTGATAGGCAGCGCCAAATGCCTGGTCACCTACAAGGGGGTAGTTTTGTGTGTCCCCCCTATTCATATAGACGCCCTGTGTGTCGCAGATTTGTCGCACTACCCCTTTGACACCCAGAATTGCAGCTTGCAAATGGGGTCCTGGGTGCACAAAGGAGAAGAGCTCAACATCAAGGTAAGGGTGATTTTTGGTGCCTTAACCCCAACCCACTAAACAAAGTTGGAAGCTATGTTGATGCAATGTTGAAGCAATATAACTGGAACGGACGTTCAGCAATATTGCAAAGGTGAAGTTTGATATTGTAGCGTTACAGCAATATTACATGTTGCTGTGACATTGCTGGAAGGTTACATTTGCAATGTTGTTGAAAGTCTGTTGCAGGAATTGCTGCAACCTTGCATCAACATAGCTTCCGAATTTGCTTAGTGGGTCTCTGGTCGTATGTTCAATCAGCGCATTCATGAAAATAAGATGAATTTTTTGAAAACTTTTTGAAAACGAAAACAAATTCAACATACGGCAACCATATTATATTAGAAAAAAATCATAGTTTTGATGATAATTTCGAAATTCTACACGTAGAAAATAAAGGAATGAAACTCAATCATTCTGAATCATTAGAAATCAACAAACTCAAACATTCTGACATGTTTCGCTAACTATACAGGGTGTTGCGAAATTCGACCGACAACGTTTGACAGGTGATAGCCCTCATAATCACTGAGATAGGGACATACTGTCTCCAAGTGTTCAGTTCTCGAGATACAGGGCGTTGAAGTTGAGAAATAAAAATAGTTGTTTCGCAATATCTCAAGAATAATTGAATATAATGCATTCAAATTCGGTATGTGGTTTCATCTTTGAATGGGTCATTTTTTGACCGGAAAGCCATTCCGGACATTTTATCCAGTGGTGCCCTACAGGGGGTTGTGGTAACTTTTCCTTCCATATTTTCTACGCCACTGATTAAATTTCGATTATTTCCAATTCCTCGAGTTTATTGTTCAATTTTGTTCAAAAAATGTATCATCTTCAACTGAGCTGAAATGAACAGTTTTCGAGATATTCGACCCAAAATAGAAGATTGTATATTAATATTTCATCATTTTCAGTAGTAGAAAATTGCTAAAATATATTTCAGATGTTGAGAAGATTAGATACTATTCAGATCTCATCCTGTAGCTGAACAGAAATAGTTATTCCACGCATAAAGAGAATATACAAACATTTTTGTAATTTTCTGAGGAAGATGAAAAGTTACTATGCAAACTTCTATTTTGGGTCAAATATCTCGATAACTGTTCATTTGAGCTCAGTTGAAGGTGATGCATTTTTTCAACATAATTGAACAATCAATTCGAGAAAATGGAAATAATCGAAATTTCGTTAGTGGCGTAGAAAATATGGGAGGAAAAGTTATCACAACCCCCTTTAGCGCTCCTATGGATGAAATTCTCGAAATGTCTTTCTGGTCAAAAAATGAACCATTGAAAGATGAATTAATATGCATTCTATTAAATTTTTCTTGAGATATTGCGAAAAACCTATTTAAATTTCTTAACTTCAACGCCCTGTATCTCGAGAACTGAACACTTCGAGACCGTATGTAATCACGAAGGCTATCACCTGTCAAGCGTTGTCGGTCGAATTTCGCAACACCCTGTATATTAGCACTTTCAGGAGTTTTAATCTCTTTCTTTTGATATCAGTTGATGAAAAATGTGGTGAATATGGATGATCTGATACACAATGGCGAATGGAAAATTTCTTCGTACTCGTCAGTAAGGAACAGCGGAAAATACGCTTGTTGTCCCAACGACACTTACCCATCGATAGAAATCAGCTTCAAAGTCAAGAGGTTGTCAGGAAGCCATGCTGCTGGAATTGTCATTCCAATTCTGGGTAAAACTACTATCACTTCCATGAATTACTTACTCATGAGTTTATTTTATTTTTCAGCTGATTTGATCCTCTCCTTCGTCTTCTTGTCTCTATCACCTCTCAATAAAGAGAGACTGGTTCTCTCTTACGTCACTCTTTTAGCTCAATTCATCCATGTGCAGTTTTTGACTTGGCAGATACCTTTGAAAGGAGACAACATACCTCTGTTACGTAAGTATTTGGTGATAGTGGATCATGCAATTTTTGTACTGGTATTTTGTTCGCCCTGTAAATGTAGGTGAATGATGACATTTGAAGAATTCACCCTATCACTAGCAAATTTCAAGTCAAATTGAATTTGCGGTGTTCTATGTTGGATAAAACGGTTCTGAAAGTGAAAATCAAACAATGAAACTTTTGTGTTCAATGACGATTGAATAGGTTTTGTTTTCTAAAAGAGTTGATTACACAGGGTGTATCTAAATAACACCGAAAACATTCGAGGGGTGATTCCTTTTGATCTTTAAGAAAATAAAGTTCATATGAATATGTGTCTTAACTTGCTTCATTTTCGAGATACAGGGTATTTTTTTTATCGCTTGGATCGCACGAAAGGGAATCCCTATAATGTCCAAAGAACATCGTGCGTTCCTGGGGAGGATAAGGATAGGAGGTAGGTATTGGAATTTTTCTTGAACTTCTGGAGATTATATGTTATTGTTGGGAATACTTCCATGAAAAATCGTTTTTTTATCCATTACTCAGTTGTATTTTCATCAATTTCAATAAAACGTTGTGGTAAGATTGAACTATTGAAATAACAACTTTTTTATTCTTTGTGTAATTTTTGTATCTAGCTTGATTTTTGAGGGAACAAAAATTCGATTTGACTCAAAATTTTAATATAGCCGTGTTTTCAAGACTTCCATTGAGATTACTCAATAACCCCAATTAGAATCATTTTGAAATTTTGGGACTTTCTCAGTCTCCAATCATACTGAATTTTTGCATCATGAAAGCTAGGGGGGTTATAAATAAAAACAATACTTCCAACTTCAACATCCTGTATCTCAAAAACGAAGCCAGTTAGGGCGCATGTTTATATGAACTTTATTCGCTAGAATATCTCAAGAAATCCCCCCTTGAAGTTTTTCGGTGTTATTTAGATACACTCTGAAGATTGGTTTATTATTTTTAAACTATTTAAATTTGTCACATTTTTTGTCAGTTTGAACCGATAATTTATTGTCACTGAATTGATGAATGTCTTGCCTATCAATTTGTGATTTGGCAATCGACATTTGGAAGGCGAAATGACAGGTTGTTCGAATCGGGTCGTAATTCTCAACAACTTTGAACAGCAAATCGGTTCACAATTCACAACAGGTGGATAGAATATGGTGTAATCACAGACAGTGTTTTGTTTCTCCCAAAACGCTTGACCGCATATTCCGCAATAATGGCATATTAGTTCTCCGTTGTCCGCGAGATGGCGACACTCTACAGCTTTCTTTCATGACAGAAAACAGAAAACGGCGCTTACACACCGCTTGCACCAGAAATAATAATATCACAACATTCATAACATAAACTCAAAACGAATGAGATTAAATTTGAAAGTACGAAACCGTAATTTTAATTATTATCATCAGCTCTACCAAACTTGAATTTTGGTTAATAGCGAATTCCATTGGTAAAACTGGGTCGCACTAAGTGCATATTTTGTATTCCATTGGTAAAACTGGTGTCGGGTTTTGAATTCCATTGGAAAACTGGTTCACATAGTTTAGAGCTCAGTGCAACAATTCTCGCACGAGCTCTAATAGGTCGTGCGAAGTAGGTGCAGTTTTGAAAATGGCGGAAACATTGAATATGCATAGTTTGAAAACCAAAATCAAGTGGCAATCGAATCATCATCATCAAGTAGTGATAAAAAATTGGAGGTTTCAAGAAATGAAGGAGACTACTTCCCAGAATCCATAATTTTGTTGAGTGTTTTGCACTAAAATTCAATGATGGAGAGGTTCTTATTGAAAAATAACTGCTCAGAATCATTTCCATGAAACATCTACTACGTTTTTAATTGAAGTCGAGAAAGAATTTCAGGATACGGACAAGTTATAAACAATGACAAACCAATGTATCCGATTTAACCTCCAACAATAACATTTTATTATATTATTTCATATTCCATTGGGAATGCACCAGTTCACATTTTGGAGAGAACTAACGTAGTGCGGGTGCAAAACTGGTGCAAAACCAGTGCACCACCAGGTTTACGAATGGAATTCGCTATAAGACTTCGCTATCTAACGGGTAAATAAATGCGCTCTGCACCGTTCGTTTATTCCAATTAATCTTTCTAATCCCTCGCATCTCGGATGGAATTGCCGAACTCGACTAGTGTTTTGTTTCTCCCAAAACGCTTGACCGCAGATTCCGCAATAATGGCATATTAGTTCTCCGTTGTCCGCTAGATGGCGACACTTTACAGCTTTCTTTCATGACAGAAAACAGAAAACGGCGCTTACCCACAGCTTGCACCAGAAATAATAATATCACAACATTCATAACATAACCTCAAAACAAATGAGATTAAATTTGAAAGTACGAAACTGTAATTTTAATTATCATCACTTCTACCAAACTTGAATTTTGGTTGAGACTTCGCTATCTAACGGGTAAAATGCGACTTATATTCCGCGATATTGAAAAGAATCCTTCTGTCAAGTAGGCCGTAGTTCAAGAACTTTGACCGAAAAACAGTGAATGGGATTTGATAGGAGTTTCTACACCATCTTCTGTTCATCCTGTTCACAACAAACGCACATTCCAATTCCAATCACTTAACCTAACCTCAATGCTAGAGCGAACATACTGAGCGTCGAAGCTATCATTATTTTTTCTTTCAGTTACGTTCAGTAGGGATTCGATTTTGATGACGGTGTTCGCAATATTGTTCACATTGCTGTTCAGGGATTTCATGCAGAGGAAAACCACCCCACCAGCTTGGATTTCTAGTATAGTGTCTGGTGTTATTTCTTGTAGACCTGGACAGATCATTCTGCTCAGTGACTATTCCACAAGGGTAAGTCACCCTTCAAAGCTGAAATGCATATTGAAAAATCAAACACAGATTAGTACCTATACAGCGATGTCTCAATTTTTATTAACAGGACTTTGACAATCGAATTTTTGAAGATGAAATTACTTAGGTAGGGAATATGAACCTTCCTTCCCAGCGAGCACAAACATCCCTGGGATGTTTTGGGATGTTTTGAAAATGTTGGCATGAAGATGTTATTTTGAGACGTGATATGCACTGACCAAAGAGGTCTTTGAAGGATATTGAAGTATTGTTTTTGTTCTTCTGTGGCATTTCTTTGTTTGCCTACTGAGAGGTATCCCTGGGATGTTTTGGGATGTTTTAGAAATGTAGGCATGAGGATGTTTTTTTGAGGCGTAATATCAGATCCCAAAGAAGTCTTAGAAGGATATTGAAAGTATTGTTTTTGTTCTTTTGTGCCTTTTCTTTGTTTGCCCCACCACAACGTCTCATGCTTACGTCACAATACGATGAATTCTGATTTGTTTTCGATTTTGTTCTTCTTGTTCGCAATTGGCATTCGCGTTTGCAGCGTGTCACGCTTACATCACGCTGCTAACGAACAGAAGGGAATTTGGTGAAGTTAATTGTGTTAGAAGACTTATTTATAGTTTGTAATAATGACCATCAGATGCAAGATGTGTTGTTCGGTGCCTCAGTACGTATTCATCAATACACAGCAGTTGCAAAATTATGCATTGTGGAGAACATTTCAAAAATTGGGAAACCTATTTCCAATTATATGTCTGTGTGTAGTAAGCACTACTCAGAAGCCGATTAAGAAGGTTATTTCATATCAAGAAAATATTTTTATGTTCAATCTATTTTTAATGCATTTTTTCATTCAAGGGAAACGGAATCCTAATGCAAAAGTTCATTTTGACAAAAGGCTTCAGAAAAGTACCTCGAAAATGTATTTTTACAGCGATTTAATGTGCGCAAGACGCGTTGAAAAGTGTCCATGAAAAGGCTTTAAAAAGAACTAGGGAGAAGGTAGTTTTGTGACATATCAAGGACATCCCGATAATTGCCGCCTGCGGCGGACATTGGCTGTTCTATAATAGTTATATTCATGTGTGAACAGAACATCGCAGTGGAGGTTCAATGTCTCGAAATCTCGTACTTTTAACATCTCTGAGATGTTTTTGTGCTCGCTGGGTTTTGTCAGTGTGGAAAAAAAGGTGGGTACAACTGCACTTACCATGCGATGGGTTTTTTTCGAAATTTTTTTTGGTACTTACGTATTTTTGTCTGAAAAACACGAATTTGATAATGAAAATGTGAACAAACCACTATTTATCAAGATATTTCAAGAAAAAGTTCGAAATTTTGCCTTATTTTCCCCCTTGTGTTGGATGCATTTACAGGTACTTGCTCTTCTTATTTTGTCATTGGACACTATAATATACTCATGATGTACTTCAATGATACATTTTTATATAGAAAACTCAAAACCAAATATGATTTTTATTGCGAGTTTTTCATATTTAGTGAACAATCATATCAGATGACGGTCATTTAATCAATAGTCAATCCAAATACGAGATCAAATGTCAACAGATTACTCTTGAATGACATTACATTACGCCATTATTTTAAATAATATATGCCTTCTTTCGCTCGGCTTCGCTGGTCGCTTCGCCCCGCAAATGCAAAATTCGCTTGTCAAACAAAGTGTCACTTTTGATCCTAATAAAACAATCTACTATTTTTCCTTGTTTAATAAAAAACTATTATTTTTGAAATTCGGTACCGAGGACTTCGAAGCTTAAAAAATATGCATTATATTCCACTAGTTCTTTTAAAAATCGACTTTTGATCTATCCATTGGCGAAGTCTTGTTAATTACTGAGACACCGTGTATTTTTCTGCAGGGTGTTGCTTCTGCAAAGAAGGAAGAAGATGGCACCACTATCGTTTCTTCAGATACTAATGCTAGCACGAACAATCAGGATTGGGTACTTTTCGGGAACATTTTGGACAAAATTTTGTTGATCCTTTACGTTATTATATACTTCACCATGATGATTGCTTTTATACCATAAGAAAATGAATCAAGTCATTATTCTTTATGTTTTGTGGAGTGATATCAAAGGAAAATAAAAAGAATACAGTTTTGGTCCAAATCTCATATATTTTCCTACATTTACAATAAATATGTCAATAAATTACCCAGTCTAGTATAAGTAAATATAACATACATGATACAAATTTGGAAATAAAAATTACAATTTAAGAATACTGTACAAGAAGAATAACGAATCATGGTAAAATAAAAAAATATATTTAGTTTTGTATTTTGTAAACAAGAAAAAAATAAATAAATCAATTATATAAAAATAATTCATTAGATGGTTATTTTCTACACCTTTCAAGTATCTAGTAAACTTGTCATTTATCTAAAACTTTCTAATTGAATCAATCTATCAGATTCCAAACAAGTCTAGGTGTTCAAAACGAAACACCAAGTATAACTAGTTAATCTTGTAACAACATCAAGGTATATACAGGGTGTTTCAGAAAAGCCTAACCCCCTTGTTAGGGTAGGTATAACATTGCAAAATAAGTTGGATTTGCTCAGTAAAAAAATGTCGCAACGCCATCCGTTTTCAAGATACAAGGTGTTATTGAAACAATATTTTTTTTACACATTTCTTACGATAATGTTGAAACTACTGGCAACATTTTAATGAAATTTTGTATGGATGTTTCATGGAATCTGACACATCGCACGCATTTGTTTTTATATCTGACTCTCATAGAAGGCGCTGGTTACACGGTTCGTCCCGAGTAGTTTTGAACATAACTTTTTTGAGGTTAGATTTTTCAATCCAAATTTGATGTGAACTTGAACATCGTTCAATTCCACACCAAAAAGGTACTCTTGGTAAAATCCGATACTGTGTTCCGTTTTCGGAATATTTCGATTCGAAAATGATGAAGTGATAACTGTTGATGGTATAAAGCTATGTATTAGAGTGAGTATTATGAAAAATTATCACCTATTTATTGAAAACCGAAAACAACAATACATTTCTGATGCAAAACTCATTGATTAAACAATGAATCACAAGAATAACATCGAAACAGATTTGACTATGCTACATAGATAAATTCACGTAAAGAGTTGTGAGACATAATTGAACATCACTTAAATGACCTAACAGCTGATCCTCAACTGTTCAGAAGAATAATACATTCTTAAAAAAAGAATATAGAAACGTGTATTCCTCGAAAAGTAGGACATTTTGAACCTTTACTCTAAGTGATTCAATATTCCATGTTTCTAGTCAAATATCTCTTAATTTTCTACTTATGTTTCTTTGTTCCATCAATTACTTCAGCACAAGAATTGTTTTTGAACCTGAATAAATAGGTAATAATTGAACTCAATAAAATTCATTTTATACCAGCATCATTACTACTCCATTATTTTCAAATTGAAATATTCCGAAAACGGAACGTAGTATCGAGTTTCACCAGGAGTACCTTCTTGGTGTAAAATTGAATGATGTTCAAGTTCATATCATATTTTGGATCGAAAAATCTAACCTCAAAAAAGTTATGTTCAAAACTACTCGGTGCGAACTGTGTAACTAGCGCCCTCTATGAGAGTCAGATATAAAAACAAATTCATGCGATGTGTCAGATTTCAAGAAACATCCATACAAAATTTCATTACAATGTTGCCAGTAGTTTCGGAATAATCGTGAAAAATGTGTGAAAAAATAATTTTCTCAACACCTTGTATCATGAAAACGGATGCCGTTACGACATTTTTTCACTGAGCAAACCCAACTTATTTTGCAATGTTCTACCTACCCTAGCAAGGGGGTTAGGTTTTTTTGAAACACCCTGTATAACTATTATCTACTAAGTACACATAGATATTTCGTTACCTACCTATATATATATCAGTTGGATAATTTCTACAACTTTTGTGATCCATTATACTTTGTGCATCCCCGTGTTTCAGTCATTTAAGTAGGAATGAGTTAAAATATTCATTGGCTAACGATCCTCTGATAATTCATCAGGAAATCAGGCTTCAATATTTTTCAAAAATCTACAATCTCCAGATGAACCTACATTTCACTAAAGATAGACGAACATGATCAAAATTCTCTAATGTTATTCAAAAGGCCTACAGTGTGTTGAAAATCATCATGCTCCATTGTTTCTTTTTTAAGTATCATATTTTCATTCAATTTAGCGAAAGAAGATACAACTTTCTTGTTTTATGAGGATTTTCGTATCTCGATCAGTTTAAAAAAACAGAGTTTATATGAACTTTTCTCTTTAATTTCTGTCAGTTCTATCGTACTATTAAATTTTCCCGATTAAACTTTGAAAAACCCTGTATTATGTTTTGAGTGACATTATATTTTTTAAGTGTGCTGAATTTAATGGAAATCTATTTTTCTTCATTTTTGGCGCTTTTTTGTGATCCTAGAGTCCATTTTTTTCTCTTGAAAGAATTTGGCTTGATAAGGAAAACCTTGCCAGTTAATATGACTTGAAGAAGAAAAAATGATATTCGCAAATGATTTCAAAAAAAGGTGGAATCTGGTGGAGAAAATTATTGTTACACACTGTATGTCTTGACTGCCTTTGTCGGTATGATGAACCATATTTTTGGTCAATGTGGATGCAGCTGGTGAATAGAACTCGTTTTTTGCAGTTGTCATTCAACAGGTCAAAAATCACGTTATATGCATTCCAGTGCATCCATATGAATTTTATGATAATTTTCATGGCATTCTCACAAAACTTGGCAATTCCCTTAATAAGACGATTTAACGGCAGGGCACGTCCTCTCTCACATACAGGGTGGTCAATCGCAAAGGAAATATAACTATCAACAGGTATGTGCAAAATTGACATATTGAAATATTCCTTTCATAGAAATATTCACAAAGTGGAGAACAACCTCTATATATGACTATATGAAAAAGCTTTTTTAGTGCCAGTAAAGTAGCACTTCTACTGTCTAGAAAGTAAAAGTATTTTCCGCTGACTGTTCTACTTCTACAGTCTAGACAGTAAAAGTGTATTATTATTTACAGCCTGTTTTTTTTCACTGCCTCTACTGCATCTAAACAGATTTCACCTTCTTTTAAAATAAAATATTTTGAAAAGTACGAGTCTGATTTGGGAACGATTTGTCTCATGTTTATAGAAAAATGGATTAGGACTTGGATTATGTTTTCTATTCTAATGGTTCAAGATGTGTCATCTACAGGGCGAAATCCAGATCTCTTACCAACAACAATATTTTCAAAGACATACCAATCACAAGAAAAAAATTTGAAAATGTTTTCATGCGTTGCTTGATGTGTGTCGAAGAAATATTTGATGAAAAAAAAATTGATTTAATGTCGCAAACTAAAATTATTCAGCATGAATTGCCACTGCAAATTTTCGAAAAAAGAAGAAATTTATCATGCTCCTTCAAAAATATATTTCAGTATATCAAAATCTTCGAACTATTATTTTTTGTTGGTCCACCCGGTATACATGGGTGGGTATAAATTGTGTTGTTTTGCGTCTGGCAGTAAAGAAATCTTGTATGATAATTTATGCAATGTCGTTTGTAAGCAGAATGATAAAATTAAAAATTTTGTTTGTTTACTTTTACAATGGAGATATTTTGGCTCGCATAATAAATTGGGCACATAACAGACTTTTATTGCCTACGTTGTGTTTTATCAGTTCTCTACAGAGGACTGCTACAGAGATTTTGATCAGGTCACACGCCGGATAATTCAGCAATATCAAACTGTCAAAGTTAAACTCGAAATAAAGTGCTCAAAGAAACAACAAGAAATTTTCGACAATTTTCAAACTGTCATAATTTTTTGAAGGATGAATGGATTTTCAATCGGAATGCAGTGTTTGAAAGATGCGATCTTTCTGTTCAAGATTCCTTGTTCAAAACTCGTCGGGAGTTTTTCTGTCAAGTGTTCGAAAAAAGTATTACAAAAATGAGAGAATTCAAACGCTCCTGGAGTTTTTTTGTCATTTTACACCAAGTGTTCGAAAAAAGTATTACAAAAATGAGAGAATTCAAACGCTCCCGTATTCCAGGGAATTTTTTTTATTTTTCTATCAAGCGTTTTTTTCGAACGTTCAAGCCAATATCTAGAAACTGTTTTGTAATTTTACATATTCCTCATACAGGATGTTGAGAATCGATGATTTTTCATTTGAGGTTTTTATCGCATCATTTCCGATTTTAAAAGTATGCAAGCCACATTCAACGTATTTTGTCACTCTATACAGTGTGTCCCACTTACCATGCTCACCATGGGTATCTTTTTAACGGTGAGAGATACGAGGTCGGTTAAATGACACCAAATGTGGAGTTTGTCAAGGCCAACTATAATGTGAAAAAATATTTTGATAAAATCTATTCGTTTTTGTTTTATACGCAAAAAACAGATTTTGATCATTTTCGAGTCTCCTCCGTAACTTCTTTATTTATGAAAATATTCAAATGGGAATTTCACATTCTCATGGCAGTTTTTCAAAGTGATTTCGAAAAAAATATGAAATTCATACCAACTCTTCTAGAATTTGAGATATCAGCACCAACTTTAGTTTTTCAAATGTAGGTCATAGCTCACTATGACATATGACTTAGTTACAAATAACTTATTTTCTCTTACAGATGATACGTCGCAGTAGTGGTTTCGTGTTGATAACAACGGAGTTATCGTCATTTATACAAAAACAAAAAATTATTTGGAAGCCGCCATCTTGAATTTATAAATTATAACAAAAAAATCATGATCTCCGACCTCAAAAACCCCCACTTACCAATTTTGAATGAATTTTTTAAATTCAACAAAAATTCCATAACTCCGATTAACTTGAAATTTGGCAGGTGTTCATAATTTCGGTGACAAAACATTATGGAATTTTTGTTGAAATTGAAAAAAATGGCTGCTCCAAGATGGCGGACAAGATTTGGTCCGATTCTATTCAAAATTGGTGAGTAGGGGTTTTTGAGGTCGGAGATCATGATTTTCTTGTTGAAATTTATAAATTCAAGATGGCGGCTTCCAAATAATTTTTTGTTTTTGTATAAATGACGATAACTCCGTTGTTATCAACACAAAACTATTACTGCGACATATCATCTGTAAGAGAAAAAAAAGTTATTTGTAACTAAGTCATAGTGAGCTATGACCTACATTTGAAAAACTAAAGTTGGTGCTGATATCTCAAATTCTAGAAGAGTTGGTATAAATTCCATATTTTTCTCGAAATCACTTTGAAAAACTGCCATAAGAATGTGAAATTTCTATTTGAATATTTTCATAAATAAAGAAGTTACAAAGGAGACATGAAAATGATCAAAATCTGTTTTTTGTGTATAAAACAAAAACGAATCGATTTTATGAAAAAAAAATTTCACATTATAGTTGGCCTTGACAAACTCCACATTTGGTGTCATTTAACTAACTTCGTATCTCTCACCGTTAAAAAGATACCCATGGTGAGCATGCCCCAGCCAGCACAAAGAGGTCCTAAAGATATCTTGAAGAAATCCTTTTAGGAAATTGTGATGCCTTTTGTAACTTCTTAGAGAGATCGCCGAGAGTGCTATATCTAGGCCAAATGTCCGCCACCTAGGCTGAGCTCAGCGAGGTCTTGAAGATATCGCACGCAGAAATTCTCATACAATGCCCTCAGGCGCGCACTTTGAGATATACGCTTCCATCGCCACTGGCGATAACTGAAAGTGCTCGCGATCATCAGCTGTTTGAGAAATTCGCATACATTGCTTTGTGGAGAGGACATTGGGAGATTCGCATCAATTGCTTCTGTCGAGGTCTTTAAGTGCTCGCGACTACGAGGTGTTTGAGATTTTCGCACGCATCGCCTTGTGAAGAGAACTTTGGGAAATTCGCATCAATTACTAATAGCGAACTCTTCAAGTGCTCGCAACTATGAATTGTTCAAGAATCCGTGCACATCACCTTATAACGAGGCCTTTAAGAGCGATATTTGCATCAATCGCCACATGATCGCCACTAATATGGTAAGGTGTTCAATTTTTGAGAAGTCATTGGTTATCAGCAGTCTCCTGTCGGCGAAGTCTAACTAGCGCCAGCTATATTGTTTGGAGTGGAGTTAAATTTACTGGATATTTGTTTCAGCGAAAAAGATTGAGTTACCAAACTTAGAGTTAGATCAACGTAATGAGCTTTAATTATATATTATTCTATTGCAAGACATTGATCAAGTAAACTTTATCACTTGAAAAAATCTCCGAGGAGTTGGCCGGGTATCCTTTAAAAAAAAAGGTCGTCCGATATCTACCCACGAATTTGAGGTAGATATTTGATTCTCGATCCCACCTGAATTAGAACATTTTTGTCTTTTTCGTCAGAGCAGATAATTAATTATCATTAATTCACTGCAAAATTTGGAATAATCAAGAAGAAAATCTAGTATCTAGTATACAATTATTATTATCATAGATTAATGACTCCCATTTCATGTTAATACTGGGTGTCCCAAGTTATCGTAAAGGTACCGGCAAAAACTTGCTTACTCGACAAGATGAACAAAAAATAGTAAAAATGCTTCAAATGACATCAGAGAACTTTCATTATGACTCAAAAAAAAGTGTATAAAATTGGACAGCCACCTGGTAGCAACTCCTCAATTTTCATTTAATGGACTCCCTGTATATTGTCATTGAAAATTGCCAATCATCCTATTTCGGGAATGAACGATAGCACATCGGTACTTTGTATTTTGTTCATCAATAACAACATTAACAATACAATTTTTTGACCTCATTTACGTTACATCGATTGAAAATTGTCTCCTCCCATGTTCGTAAAAATGTCCCACAATGAAATCAGATTAATTATTACACTAGGTAGGTACCGTCTGCAATGATTGATGTTCTGCAGTTCAAAATGGAATATCTGTCATTATTATTTTGAAACAAAAATGCAATCCATACTTCTTATTTGTGAACTTGAACACATGGGTGAAAGCAATATGTCATTTGAGTAACGTAAAAAAGTCACAAAATGTTCATGTTTTTGTTGTTATCAAGAACAAAACACCAAGTATGTGCTATATCGTTGTATTCCAAATAGATTGACACGCAATTTTCAGAGACAATATGCTACTAGATCAGTATCTACCATCCGGGGGCTGCCAAATATATCACATTCTTCATAAGCCATTAGGAAGGTTATTTAATGCCATTTAATGCAGTTTTTTAATGCTTTTGATATCTTGACAAATAGGCGAGATATTGCCTGTAAACGATAACTTGGGACACCCAGTATTTGAATTATAAAGGCTATTGAAAAAAACAACTCAATATTTTTGTAGGAATATTCATCAATTATTCAGGTTATGTTTGTGATTACTTAAGGAGCTCGCAATGGGAAATTCTCGATCTTGTTACGTCCAGGATATCCTTGGGTGCTCGCAGAAAGAAATGCCTATTCATTTCCTGTTATAGATAACCTCAAGGATTCGCAATAATGAGGAATATATCAAATCTGAGGCGAGATCTCCGCGATTCCTTTCGGACGACTCCAGAGAGTATTTCCCATGGTGACAGCCTATAGTGATCTTTGATACCTCGCAGAAGGATTTCGCATTTTGATCCTGAAGATAACTACTTAGAGATATCGCGGAGAGTACTGTGTTACCTGGGTGGTAAGTGGGACACACTGTATACGATGATACACATCCTAGAAAATGGATTCATATTGCGTTGAAATCATCGACAACTTTAACAGAAGAAGAATTAATTTTTTTTCAGAAATGTTTAGAATTTGGTGAAATCGTCTGTTCAGTTTGGTGCTGCCATAACCTTATGCGATGCTAAACACAAATCCTTCATTTGGATCGATTGCTCTGCTCAGTATGTCGAATTGGTTTCGTGATTTTCCAGATAAGGCAATCCAAGGGGGGACAAGGAGGAAATTTTTGGTGTGGATAGTTATTATTTGAGTATTCGTCATATTTAATTTAGGGTTTTTGATGAATCTGTCTGTCCGATATATGATCGTTCTAAATCCAATAACATATTTTTAGAATAAAACGACCTGCCAAAACAAACTTAATAGCTGAATGGAGACGACGAATTTCTAGTAAATGCAGTTTTTGGACTACTTCCAAGAGATACATCCTGCAACTATTTATTACAATTATATTCATTTAACCCACTCACGCTCGGTTGGTATAAATGTATATTCCTGAAACGTTTGCAGGAAGTGAATCTGGGATTTATGAGATTTATGAACAATTTCAGGTAAAAATAGATTCGTGTCACCTATATAAAGTATTACACAATAAACGGCGCCTTATCCATGTTTTAACAGGTTGTAAATAAAAAATGTACATTTACTTTATTTTTCTCCGAGAAAATAAGAGGGCAAAAATGCTTTGCAAAACTTTTCGAAGCCAATGAAGATTACTTGTATCATAATATCGTTTACAAATTTTCTCTGCACTCTACATCATACCTCTTCTACCTATATGGCATACTATCCATAATTATATTATATTTCCAACATTTATATAAAATGCACTTTCTATCCAATTTTACTGCAGACATTTTTTCTAATCGATACATTTTATTTAAGTACACAACAAATTGGCTAACATCCAAACTAATTCATGGCTAATTTTTTGAATATTCAACTACATTGATCTTTTAGATCGATTTTTTTATTCTTTGGCTTTGTATTCACTAAATATCAATCGAAAAGTGTAGATCAAATTTTCGTTACCCTGGGCTGAAACAAAAAATTGCATTCATTACAATCCCATAGTCTCAAATCAGCTCGCATTCACTTGATTGTTGTTATTATTCCCAACTTAAAAGTGTTCAATCTCGATCTGAAAGTGTTTCTATTGATTAGAATTATGTATTTGAATATGCTTTTTCTTGATAAGCGTTATATCCCGATTCAGGAGTTGTTATCCTCAGCATGAAAGTGGTTATTCACCTGTATATTCTTATTCTCAAATTGGAAGTGATTATCCTTAATTTGAATGCAAATATATTCACTTGAATGTTGTGATTCTGTATCTGAAAACACTCACCTTACACCTTCCCGTGTACTGCGTATCGAGCACGTACCCCTTGAGACACGCGTCCTGCATCATGTGACACCACGTGGGGTAGGTGGCGTTGTTGGTGGCACACAGGGGCGCACGCATGGCATGTCGGGGGCGGCACCCCATCGAGCATCCCACGCACCGCAAACTACCCGTCGAGCGGTCTTTCAGACACGACTCTCCGATCCTGCAGCGGACCTTCTTGCACGTCGCTTTAGCTAAAAAAAATGAAAATTGTGCATGGGTGGAAGTAAAGTAGCACTTTAGCGCCGGGCCCAGCGGCCGTAAAGAATCACTTCATCGCCGTGCTCAGCGGCTGTAAAGTAGGACTTTATTGCCTTGTTCAGCGTACGTAAAGTATCACTTCCGCGGCCGTAAATTACCACTTTAACGCCTCTCTCTTCGTTGCGATTCAAATCACCAAATAGCTATTTCTGGACAAGGAAAAGAAATCATACTTACGTTTGCAGGGTCCTTTATACGCCATAGGGATTGCTTTGCCCAAACGGCAAGCCTTCTCTTTCAAATGACAAGCGCTAGGGTGGGTCACACCGTCCGAACCGCAAACCGCCTGACGACGTTTCGGTCTGCTCTGACATCTTCGCGAACACTGGGCGCAGTGCGGCATCAGGTTCTGGTCGAGCAGACAATGCTTCTCTGCTGGACAGCTTATTCTATCACAGGAACCTGCCACATAAGACATGAGTCATCATTTATACGAAAAAAAATTAAATAGAGATTGGTGTGATTTTAACATCATTTGGTGTAATTTTTACACCATTTAATGTAATTTTCACAGCAATTAATGTAATATCTACACCTCAATGATGTTTAATACCAGTATATTGAAAAGTAATCAAGACACCCTGTATCTCAGAAACGAGGTGACATCTAAAAGTTATGTTTGTAGCATCGTTTGTTCTACAAAAAAGTGAAACTCAGATGAAAATTATCTACACTGTATTCGATACACCGAGTGATGAACTTTGTACGCTAGATAATGTAATTTCTTGATTGATGGTGTGATTTTCCAGCAGGAATTCAGCTCCCTTGATCTTTAGTCCCATTGGTGTAACTTCTACACCCTTTGGTGTAACTTCTACAACCTTTGGTGTAACTTCCACACCCTTTGGTGTAACTTCTACACCAGTTTGTGTAACTTCTTCACCAGTTGGTGTAATTTCTACTCCCATTGGTGTATCTTCTACACCATATGGTGGTAATTCGACACCAAAAGGTGTAATTTTCACACCGTATGGTGTATTTTCTATTATTTTCCACTTACTTTGACACATGCCTTTGTAGGCGACTGTGAGCGAGTGAGATCTCTTTCGACAGGCGTGTTTTCTGAGCCTGCACACGTTTCGATAGCTTCGACCGTCGGTGCCGCAAACCGTTCCACGTGGACGGACTTTTCCCTCCTTGCATTTGGAGGAGCAGACGCACTTCGGCGCCCCCTTTCTCATCACGCAGGTCTTGTCTGCATCACATACGACATCCTTGCAAGAATCTGAAAAGAATATATACAGGTTGTCATTGAATTGATGGCTGAAAATATAGTTCCTTAGCTCATTTCAAGAAGAAAAGTTTATATGAGTATCTGCACTGAACTTTCGAGCTATAGGGTGTTGAAATTTCAAGAGGAAATTCGTTTTCTCATCATCACTTCAATTCTGTTCTAGATAATGAAACGGTGCCCTTTCAAGAAAACTCGCACAAAAGAAACAATAATGAGAACAAGTGTGTAATTTTCAATTATGAAAAATAGAGTTTTTCATTTCACCAGATTTCTTGGGATTTTCTCTACTCGTTTCTATAAATAAAACTATGATTTGTTATTGTTATTGTTTCATAATACCTGTTGTAAAGACGAATCAGATGATTTGCCCCGCGTCACCGCGTTTAAAAGGGTACACCGTATTTTAATGTAGATATTGTGCCTAATTTCCGAAAATGAAGGTTTATCGAACCTGTCCTACACTCCTACAGGTAACCCAGCGAGCACAAACATCCCTGGGATGTTTTGGGATATTTTGAAAATGTTGGCATGAAGATGTTATTTTGAGACGTAATATGCACCCAAAGAGGTCTTTGAAGGATATTGAAGTATTGTTTTTGTTCTTCTGTGGCATTTCTTTGTTTGCATACTGAGAGGTATCCCTGGGATGTTTTGGGATGTTTTAGAAATGTAGGCATGAGGATGTTTTTTTGAGGCGTAATATGCACCTCCCAAAGAGGTCTTAGAAGGATATTGAAAGTATTGTTTTTTGTTCTTTTGTGCCCTTTCTTTGTTTGCCCCACCACAACGTCTCATGCTTACGTCACAATACGATGAATTCTGATTTGTTTTCGATTTTGTTCTTCTTGTTCGCAATTGGCATTCGCGTTTGCAGCGTGTCACGCTTACATCACGCTGCTAACGAACAGAAAGGAATTTGGTGAAGTTTATTGTGTTGGAAGACTTATTTAGTTTGTAATAATGACCATCAGATGCAAGATGTGTTGTTCGGTGCCTCAGTGTAATCAATATATAAAAGTACGAATTTATCAATACACAGCTTCTCCGCAGTTGCAAAATTATGCATTGTGGAGAACATTTCAAAAATTGGGAAACCTATTTCCAATTATATGTCTGTGTGTAGTAAGCACTACTCAGAAACCGATTAAGAAGGTAATTTCATATCAAGAAAATATTTTTATGTTCAATCTATTTTTAATGCATTTTTTCATTCAAGGGAAATGGAATCCTAATGCAAAAGTTCGTTTTGACAAAAGGCTTCAGAAAAGTACCTCGAAAATGTTTTTTTACAGCGATTTAATGTGCGCAAGACGCGTTGAAAATGTTCTGTTGTGTCCATGAAAAGGCTTTGAAAAGAACTAGGGAGAAGGTAGTTTTGTGACATATCAAGGACATCTCGATAATTGCCGCCTGCGGCGGACATTGGCTGTTCTATAATAGTTCTATTCATGTGTGAACAGAACATCGCAGTGGAGGTTCAATGTCTCGAAATTTCGTACTTTTAACATCTCTGAGAAGTTTTTGTGCTCGCTGGGAACTAATCCTTCAAGTTGAGAAAGTAGGATATATAAAAGTTAAGCAAGCCAAAGTTGGTTTAGTTCATTGTACCAGTATATCACCTGACGAAGCTACCGTGTTAGCGAAACATGTTGTGTTTAAGAATGTTGTGAAAATCTTATCATTTGTGAAGTTTTAACATTTGCCATGGATTTCCATCAAGTAGTAGTAACGGCCGAGTCAATTCTCAAAAAAAAAAAACAATCAAATCTTTCCTCTTTATGATAGTAATAAAGATAAAAAGCATAGTTTACCTCGACAAGGGAAACACCTCACTCCTCCTCCTAGTACCCTCCAGAAGAAAAGGGTGCCAGAGTCGAACTCGTCTGCTGACCAAGACGTAGTGACTGATCTGCTGGCGCAGCAGTCTTCTTTCGATATCTTTTCGTGCACCAGCTCAGTGCAGCGTCCGCTGCCGTTGCGAACCATAGCCGACCAACAGGTGCCCGCTAAAAAAGAAAAAAGAAAACAAGGTTGAAAAACGACAGAAATCTACGAAGACGTTGAGGGGTCATCGCAATTATTTTTCATAATTCCGACTTGGTATCTTGGAATTATCTAATTCCGACTTATAGTATCGGAATTCCGACTCAGTATCTCGGAATTCTGACTTATTATCTCGGAATTATTCAATTCCGACTTTTTTTTCGGAATTCCGACTTAGTATCTTGAAATTACGACTTGATAAGTCGAAATTTCCAAGAAAATAAGTCGATATTCCGAGATACCAAGTCGAAATTCCGACATTATAAGTCGGAATTGAATAATTCTGAGATAATGAGTCGGAATTCCGACATAATAAGTCGGAATTATGAAGAATAATTGAGGTGGCCCTTCAACACCTTCGTAAAAATCACTGTAGGGTCACAGTTTAATTGTTATTGTTTAATGTTGCAAAATGATTGAACACTGTCACTTTTCTGTGAGGTTATTTGCACTCAATTAAGCGATTTGATAACGAATGCGAATAAACAATTTTTTTTTCTAATAGAATCATCACTCAGATAATTTTCATTTTCATATTTTCTAAAAATTTTTTGGTCGATTTTTAGGTTCTAAAATCTTCAATAATGCCACGATAATTTTCAAACGGCTTGAAATTTACCGCAACGATTTCATAAGTAGTGGCAGACCATAGTACAGTTGCCATGTGTTGAAATACAATTAGGAACTTCAGAAATATTAGTTATTCAATAATTCATAAATTCTCAATTGAGTATTGGTAATACTCCTAATTAGCAATAAAAAGGACCCCGCACGAAAACACGGGAAATTGGCTCTTGGTCGAATTGGCTGAAATTTTACTATGTTGTTGTGGGATTGCTCATTAGAAAAATATGTGAGTTTAACAAGTTTTGTATGTTTAGTTTCTGAGATATAAGCATACAAAGTTCGTAAAAACGTCTTATCAGGGTAGGATTGACAAAGAAAAAAAACTGTTTTCTAGTATAAATAAGACAAAATAAGCTACAAAATGTATAGATCGGAACTAGAATACATGTCTAGTTATGATCACATAAATTATAGTAAATCAGGGTGTATACGAGGCACGGTCAAAAAATTCATTTTTCGGAAAAAAAATTCGAGCACTATTCCAAAACCAACAAGTTATATTTTGGTAGGACATTATAGTTTTAGTCTATTGTAGGCTTCGAAAACGTATTCTGATTCTCGATAACTATCTCTGTTCGAAATATGAATTTTTAGAATCTTGTGTTACACCCCTTTTTGAAAACAATTGACAGCTTGTTTTTGATCACAAAGAGAGGGATTGATTGATACTGTTGATTGCATGAAAGCTGAGGTGACTCACTAGCGAATTCAGTTGTTCAATATTGCCTTTCATTTAGATACAGGGTGTGTTAGATTTTGTTGAAGATTATTCAACATGTTTCAATTGAATATCTCGAAAACAGTTCCGTTAATTTGGATCTCATTTTACTGACACTATTTTGAATATGTTGACTATCATATGTCAACAGTTAATTTTTGAGTTTACAGTATTACAGGTATTATAGGGTTATTACCTCGGATGTCACCATCGATTCAACAGAACTTTACGAAATCTTTCAAACATTCAATTACATTATGAAACTATTAGAAATCAATAATTACTATAAACAACACGAACCACATAGAATAACAATATGAAACTCAACAGTATGGATTCCGTAAAGTTCTGTTGAATCGATAGTAATATCCGAGGTAATAACCCTATAATACCTGTAATACTGTAAACTCAAAGATGCGTATTTCAGAAACGGAACATAAAACATTGAAAAACTTCTTGCATATGATAATGAGCTGTCAATTGTTTTCCAAAAGGGGTATAATACAAAATTCAAAGAATTCATATTTCGAACAGAGATAATTATCATGAATGGAAATACGTTTTCGAAGCCTACGATAGAGTAAAACTATAATGTCTCACCAAAATATAACTTGTTGGTTTTGGAATAGTACTCGAATTTTTTTCCGAAAAATGAATTTTTTTACCGTGCATCGTATACACCTGATTTACTATAATTTATGTGATCATAACTGGACATGTATTTGAGTTCCGATCAATACATTTTCTAGCATATTTTGTCTTATTTATTCTAACAAATTCCAATATTCCAATCTAAGTTCTGCCGCTAACTTAGATCAGTTTGAATCGTCGATATTTCCGAGATTATTTCTCCCCTCTCGAAAGAAAATATCCGATGGACCCTCTCCGAAATATTATAAAAAGTTCAGCCTATGTACGGTTTTCACAGACTGTATACACAGGTATAGATACAACAAAAGTATCAGTTTGAAAATAAATACCTCCTCTCGTTTCATTTTATTTCCAGGGCTGGTTTCAATACTATTAATTTTTGTGGTTTTACCATTTACTATTACTAACTATTAACTATATTGACCCATTAACTGTTCTATGTTGGTTCACTCGGTATTTCGTGAATCATGGAGATTTCAACGCCCAGGGAAGCGAGTACTGCATGCTTCATCATTATTAATGTCACTTTCAGATTCCGATTATCATCCTGTATGCAACATGCAACAGTAAACCGTTGTTTTTTCCGTATCTACTGATGCACGAGAGAGTATACGAAGACTAAGTAATCAGAGATCGTGACCAACAGTGTCAAAAATAAATCTACGTGAAAGAATTTCCGTATAAAACCTCAGACAGGAGTTTACGAACCTATTTTGTAATGCAAAATATGGCGAATGCGCTTTTTAAAAGTTTGGCGAAGTAGCCCCACAAGAAATATAGTATTGTTTTGTACGACCTTTGCAATAAAAGCTGAATTTAGAAATTGTTATATCATTTCATGAATACTTTGTATATTTTATGTTGAAAGACAGAAGGTAGACAGAAATAATAAATTGGATGTCAGAGTCAGAAATCTGTCATTGATATTCTTATTGAAATAACATGGAAAAATACGATATTAAATAGTGGAAAGAAGAACAGAAGTTTCAATAGTCTGTTACAATTGTGGCTTTTATCATCGAATATACGCTCCACAATTGGTGTTCCTATATATAGAATGTACTTTTGTCAAATTTCATTAAATTTGTTACACTCCGATCAGCGAACAAAAATGTGTTTTTCTCCGATTGGCAGCAAATATTAATTTTGCTGACACATATCAATCAGCAAAGTATTACTTTTTCTGCCTAGGCAGCAAAATGGGTACTTTGCTGTCTAGGCAGCAAATGGGTTACTTTGCTGCCTAGGCAGCAAAGTGATTATACTCAATGGGAATAAAACATTTGATGTTAATATTTATTAGCAATTATTACATAACACTTTAACAAGAATTTGAGAAACAACTGCGATTTCTATCCAATTTCATTTTAATTGAACACTACAGGAAGAATAAAGAGATTGTGGGAATTGTAATAATTTGCAAATACAATATCCTCCTATATCATTATGAACAATCGGTGAAAAAATTATATGTTCAACTCGGCAGCAAAGTAGATTGACTGCCTTAGCTGAATTCCTGAACTGCTATGAAAAGGACGGTATATTTCTCATAGCTTACTCAACTTCAAAACCATGTATTGCTCATAAATGAGGAATCAACAAAAATCGACAAAAACTTTGTTGGCCGTTGTTCAGTTTTGAATAGTTGATATTGACACAACTCTCAGCAGAAGTTATTTAAATTCCTATGGTAGTTTTCATCCCTACCTATGCGTCTATGTTGATTATGTTTGTTGTTCGTAGATTCTGATAATACTCTGCCAGAGATATTGGGAAAGGCTGCAAAAGTACCTAACATTAGATTATTTTGTTGTCGGAAAATTTAAGAAAAAAAGAGGAATTTCCATGCGAAAAATTTATGGAATGCAAAATAATACAAATATGAAATCTTTTCATGACCATACAGAATTTAACGGCTGTTACTATCAACTATAATTTTGAATAAATTATTTAACTGTTGAGAGGAAGAATACTTTGATGTTATTTCAGTTTTGATAACCATAAAAATAAATATCAAGTTAGGTACATTACTAGAGTATTCTTAAAATTCGTGCAGTTTTAGAAAAAGTTTAGTGTGCAACATGAGGGGAAAGATACTTTCCCCACTTGTTGCACAATATACTATTTTTTTTGTAACCTTTGAACTCTTCTCACAGACAAACGGTGCATTTTGGTACATAAATAAATTGGGTCCAATCGATTCATCTTGACCTTCATTACACGTTGGTAGCTCTGTGTCCTAGCAATTTTGGGACAACCATTCATTTGGAATGAAAATCAAGCATGCCTTTTCTCTAGAAAAGCCGATCTCACTGTGCCCAACATAAGCTTGTCAGGAGTAACCATACCTTTGAAGACATCCATTTCGATGTTTGGTATTACTTTCAGCAATAACCCTCGCAATTACCTTTCTTGGGAAAATCACGTGATATCAATTGCTGAAAGTGCATCCCAAAAACTTGGTTTTTTGTTTCGGGCCAGGAGCTATTTCACTTTCAGTCAGCTGCTTATGATCTATGAGGCACAGATCCGACCTGTCCTGGAATACTGTTTACATATTTGGAGTGCAGTACCCAAACATACCCTGAAACTGTTGGATTCTGTCCAAAAAAGGGCGATTCGACTGGTGGGTGATGCCTCGCTCACAAACTCACTCACTTCTCTGGAACACGACCGTAGAAAAGTTGGCGATCTGGCTCTATATTTCATAGATATTTTCATGAAATATCATTAATTGTTCCTCCCTTGGCAGTCCCCGCGAGATTAAAACGGCGAGTTGGGGCTTCGCACCCCTTCGTGGTCACTTTGGAAACATGCAGAACATCTCTTTCCAAAGACTCGTTCATCCAACGAACAGCGAGGCTCTGGAACACATTGCCAAGGGAGGTGTTCCCCGAGGCATATAACCTCCAGAAATTTAATTTAAAAAGATATACTGATAAATAATTTCGCGTACGACTATGGTGG